GAGAGGAGAAGGGAGGGGAGGGGAGAGGAGAGGAGAAGGGAGGGGAGGGGGAGGAGGAGAGAAGGAGAAAGGACCAGAAAAGAAAGGGAAGGAGAAAGGAGAGGGGAGGGGAAGGGAGGGGAAGAGAAGGAAAGGGAAGAGGAGGAGAGGGGAAGGGAGGGGAAGGGGAGGAGAGGGAAGGGGAGGGGGAAGTTGAGGGGAGGGATGGGGTGGGGACAGCTGGGAGGGAGCTATGGAGGGGGTGAAAGGTGGATCAAACCCCCTTTGTGCAACGGCTTGAAACTAGGGTCTAACAACCAGCGTTCACCTCCATCAACTCAAGCCCGACGCCAGATGCCAACCACGAGGCAAACAAGTTCTCATCCCGCCCCCCGCCCCCCAACCCCGCCCAGCCCTCTCTCAACTCTCGCGTGGCTCTCAAAGCGCACCCCCAAATCACACCATGGGCCGCCCTGGGGCACCCCCCCCCCCCCCGGCACACACTCCCCCAGCCCTGAAACTCAGGAACAGGTCCTGAGCACCTCCCTTGCTGGGCCTGCTCCCCCCACACCCCATTACTGGAAGAGGGGTGGGTGGGAAGAGCTTCCTTGAGGGGACCCTTGAGCCACCTGCACCCCAGGGCTTTGGTGAACGCCACCTGGCCCGGTGGTCTCCATGTTTGCACACGGGGTGGGAGAGAGTTGGGGGGGAGGGGAGGGGGAGCCTCACCTGGCTGGCCATCCTCCAGGTTCTGGGGCTGGGTCTTGGCACGGCCAGAAGGTGAACAGCACCCTCTGCCGGGCACCGGTGTCATGGCTTTGAGCCACAGCTCCACTTCTGGTTTTTTTTTTGGTGGATCATGGGCGGTAAGAGTCTCACAGCCCAGCATGGGCGGCTCCCGCCGGTCATCCAGCGACTCAGGAGGCTGAGATCTGAGGATCGCGGTTCAAAGCCAGCCTGGGCAGGAAAGTCCGTGAGACTCTGATCTCCCATGAACCACCAGAAAACCAGAAGTGGTGCTGTGGATCAAGGGGTAGAGCTCCCAGCCTTGAGCTGAGGAGCTCAGGGACAGCGTCCAGGCCCAGAGTTCAAGACCCAGGACCGCGATTAATAATAATAATAATAATAATAATGTGGGAGGAACGAAGGAATAAAAGAGGAGACAGTGGACATTGCCAAGGACAGGGATGCTGTCCCACGGCAGGCTGGAGACACTGCGCAGTGAGCCGGTGTTGGGTTCGAGTCTGGGCGTGCAGGTGACACTGGTGTCACACCGTGGCTCTCAGGGGATTCCCCTGGGAGGTGGTCCTGCTCGGACAGGCCACACAGCAGGATCTCGGCCTGTCAGATCCATCCGGGGCTCTCTTCTTCCTCCTCCCACCCCCACTCCCTTCCAGGCCTCTCCCCTCCCTTCACCCCAGGAGGCCTGTCCCTGCTCCCCCTCTCCCCTGCGAGTCTCAGGGACACACTGCAGGCGCTACTGGAGGTTTATACACACACACGTGCACACACGCGTGCACGTACACATGCACGTTGCCTGTGGGCACACACGCACCTGCATACACACGCTGCCTGCTCCCTGATCTCATTTCTCTTTTCTCTTCTGGTCCCATCCGTTTCCCCCTCACATTCTCCCATGTCTGTCTGTCATCTGTCTGTCTCGTTCGCTTCCTTCTACTGTCCCTTTTCCTCCCTCCTTCTTTTCCCCCTCCCTCCTTCGCTCTTCTGCATCTCCTTCCCTCTCTCCTTCTCTCCATCTCCCTTCCTCCCTCTTTCCTTCCCTTTGTCTCTCCCTTCTCCCCCCTCCCTCTTCCTCTCTTTTAAACTTCTTTCTGTTATGATGAAGGTGGTATGCTGAGGGTGACAGTGACATCCGTCAGGTCGTGAGCACATTTCTTGGTGGCCCTGTCCCCCCTTCCCTCCCTCCCTCTCTCCCTGTTTTTTCCCTCCCATCCCTTCCCACAAGTGGTAGAGTTCGTTCTCCACACGGGGTCCAGTGAGGATTACGGCTGACTTTGTCCACCCTCTGTCTCCCCATTTCTGTGCCCCCCCTCACCCTCCAGAGACAGAGAAACCAACACACGAGACAAAAAGCAAACAAAAAGGGGGGGGAACCCCTCTTATTCCCATATCCTGGGGGGGAACCCCTCTTATTCCCATATCCTGGAGTTCATTCGGATAAATGTGGGTTTCAGATGAGCAGATTCTCTTCCTTGCTTTCCCCGATCTCTGCTCTTCCCTCCTTTTCTCTTCCCATCTTCCCTTCCTTCCTCCTCCTCCTCTCTCTGAGGTTTGCTAATGCTCAGATCCCATTAAACACAAAACAAATGCATCCCCTCCCCAGCCCGCACCCCCTCCTGACCTCCCCCCCCCCCCCCCGCAAGACAGAGCTGTGCCTCCACCTCCCCGTTCACCTCTGCGGGTGTGATTCCATGTAGGCCCACGCGCGCGCACGCACACACACGCACACGCACACACTTCCAGAGACCAATTTCACACACTCTTCGTTCTCAGTGGGGGAAGACAGGCGCAAAATTCAAAGGGCGGGAGGGGGGCCCAAAGTCTCTCTGGGGAATTCCCCTGGCTTCTCTGCCGGGAGATGGATTCCAGGGGTCCCCGGGGGGGGGGGGGGCGGCGGGGGAAGGACAGCAGGTCTAACCTAGAGGAACCGCGCTGGAGGCCGGAGAGCAAATGGAGATTCTGGCTAAGTCAAGATGGCGGAGGAGCTCATGGGATGTCCCGTGTATTCTTCTCAGACAAAAGAGGGGCCAAGTGTCCAGGAGTCAGAGTTGCTTAGAGCCACGGTCATGCTAAACCCGATGACCCCCCCCCCCAAAAAAAAGTCACAACAGGGTTAAAATAGTGGTCTATTAACAGCCCAACGAAGCTCAACGGTCTCTAAAGGAAAACTAGGCAAGCAAGATGCTTTAAAAGAACTGACCACACGTAATGGGTACATAAGGAGGCAAGACAGAAACGAGAGCCATCCCTAAGATGAATCCCTGCTCGGCCTTCTGGCTGGGCTCCAAGGTTCGTTCTTATCCGCTTAATAGCCAACATCTGCTCCATCTAAAGACCACCATCACATGACCTTTGCAGCAAATTAAAAGAATCACGGGAGCTTGAATATCCTCATGATCCTGAATATGCTCAAGTGTCCCCTCCTCCCCTTCAAGGCCTTAAACGAATGAGGGAATCAAAGCCAGGCGCCGGTGGCTCACGCCTGTCATCCTAGATCCTCAGCAGGCTGAGATCTGAGGATTGAGGTTCAAAGCCAACCCAGACAGGAAAGTCCCTTAGACTCTTTTATCTTCAATGAACCACCGAAAGAAAAGCCAGAAGTGGAGCTGTGGTTCAAGCGGGAGAGCACCAGCCTGGAGTACAAAAGCTGGCATGCACGCACACACACACTCATGACAAGATTTTATTGCATCTGGAGCTGCGTGGAAATGGGTTCGTGCTCTATGTCTTTCTCATACCGTTTTCTGAAGATAGAAGGAACCCAGCTAGAAAACCATCCATTGACATCTTTTTGTATTGTGTTGCTGGTTTTCTTTAGGTGTTGCATATCACAGCAGGATTCTAAATGAAGCTAGGGACAGAAAAGTAGGGACAAGACTTGTAAATCAGGGGCTGGGAAGGTGGCTCAGTGGTAAAGAGCGCTTGCCTTGCATGCATGAGGCCCTGGGTTCGATTCCCCAGCACCACATAAGCAGAAAAGGCCAGAACTGGTGCTGTGGCTCAAGTGGCAGAGTGCCAGACTTGAGCTGAAGAGCTGAGGGACAGCGCCCAGGCCAGAGTTCAGGGCCCCCCCAAAAAAGACTTGTATATTCAGCGAAGTGGCCCTCCTTGGCAACTCTGCTCAGGGCTGAGGTGGATCTTGGGAAAGGCCTCTGCTCTAGCCCGTGTGCATCTTCTTCCTCCCCGGTGCCTGGGCAGTTTCCCAACAGGACGGGCTCCTACAGTTTAGCAGGAGCCTAAAGACTCACCCCAAGACTCTTCCTGCCTTTCCAGAGAACTGAGCTGCTCGCTCCTTGTGTTCGAAGCCATCGTTTTCTTAATCATGCTTGTGTTTTGTGTTGTTTTACCTGCACCATTGTTGAAACTCAGTGCCTCCTCGCTCTGCGGGTGCTCTCCCACTTGAGCCACGCCTCCAGCCTGGCTTTTTGCTGGCTAGTTGGATGGGAGTCTGGTGGACTTTTCTACCTGGATCCTCCAGGTCTCGGCCTTCTAAAGAGCTAGGATTACAGTCGTGAGCCGCTGGCATACCCAACAGAGCTACGTTTGCATAGGCTTATGCATCAGCTAACTTTGGACTTTTTTTCTGCTCGAGGTGAGCGCTCTACCACTTTTGAGCCACAGCTCCACTTCCCATTTTCTGGTGGTTCACTGGAGGTAAAGAGTCTCATGGACTTTCCTGCCCGGGCTGGCTTTGAACCGTGATCCTCAGATCTCAGCCTCCTGAGGAGCGAGGATGACAGGCGTGAGCACCCGCGCCAGACTTTCCAACATCCCTTTTGTGAAGGGTGACTTTTGAAATAAAGGCACAACGAAAGGTGTCTTGCGTAGACGTAAAAATGAAGGCATGTCTGCACGATTTGAAGATTTCCTTTTGGTGTATACGAAGCCAGTTTCGTTGTGATATTTGCCTCCAATGCTTACGATAATCTCACCCCTCCACCTCTTCATCTCCCAGCTACTCAGGAAGCTGAGATCGGAGGATCATGGTTCAAAGCCAGCCTGGGCAGGAAAGTTCATGAGGCTCTGGTCTTCAAGGAACCACCAGGAAACCGGAAGTGGCGCTGTGGCTCAAGTGGTAGAGTGCCAGCCCTGAGCTGAAGAGCTGAGGGACAGCGCCCAGGCCCCGAGTTCAAGCCCCACGACCAACCAAACAATCAATTCACAGCCTCTCACCCACTTGGCTGGCGCTCTACCACCTGAGCCATGCCTCCAGCCCTGCTTTAAAGTTCTAAACGGCTAGGGCTGATCATTTCCAGCCCAAGGAAGAGAGCGCGACAGTGTGGATCCTGGGCTGTTTTAATAGAAGGATCTTATTCTCTGTGTACAGAAGGCCTCGGCCGCCGGGCCGCGGGGTGACGGGCCCCGAGGCTCCCGGGGGTGCGGGCGGGGCGGGGCGCTAGTAGTTCACAGTCTTTGCGGGCTTGGCATCTTCCATCTCGGTTTTCAGCCAGCGGTTCGTGCGGTGGCGTCTCAGCGTCTCAATGGCCTTGAGCTCCAGGGGTGTGGGTTCGATTCCCAGGTCTTCGAGGCTCAGCAGGTTGGGCAGGATCTTGTCTGAGAGGTGAAGCTGTGGACAGAAAAAAAACTGTAGCAGCCAGGGGCGGGGGTGCAGGCCTGCGGTCTGGGCGCTCTGGAGGCTGAGGCAGGAGGATTGCGAGAGGGAGGCCAAGCCGTAGGACATCACCAGGCGCCTGATGAAGAGGCCCGGACGGCCCTGTGAGCCGTGTGCGCCACGCGCAGAGCCCGGCCTGGCGCTGGACAGCCGGGGTCACTCCGGTCGGGTAAGGAGTCCAGCCGGGGCTGTCAGCCAGGTTCGCTAGGGCGGAAAGGTCCTGGGCGCGCCCCAAAAGCACCGAGGCAGGTCCAGCCGCGCTCCCCCTACGCCCCGAAGCCCGAAGATCTCTCCTGAGCGACAGGCAGTCTCCAAACGAGACTCCCCTGCAGGCCTTGTCCCATTCAAGCGCTCAGGGCTGCAGAGATTACAGGCAGGACCCCGCTAGCCCGAAGCTGGACCAAGGGCATGGCGGGTGTCCCTGGGAAGTGGGGGAAACGGGGATGGGGGGGAGGGGAGCCCCCCTCTGGGATCTCCAATCCCAGAGCCACACGCGGCGGGCAAGGCAGGCACCTGTGGCCAGTGAAGCCAGGGCGGACGGCTCCTGCCTGTTTTCAGGAGACTGGGGGGTGCTGGGATTACAGGACTGCGCTGCCACGCTTGGCCGGAAGGCGCTTCTGAGGTGGAGGCGAAAAGCGGCAGAGACGAGTGGGAAACGGGGCATCGGGAGGAGAGGGAAGGAGGCACCTTTGCACGCGGACAGACGCGAGCCGGCGGAGAGGGAAATCAAGCAGCGGGAGGCGGCAGGCCGACGTCCCGCGCTTCCTGCCCCCGGACTCACCCGGTCCACTTTGTCCCTCGTCGTCCACGGTTCAAAGGGGCTGAGTTCAAAGAGCCGCGCGATCATGCTGCAGGAGGGAAGGCAAGGGCCCGGGTGAGGGGCCACGTCTGCCTCGGCCACTCGCTCCAGGCCGGGACTAAAGCAGGCCGCTCCTACGCTCCCCATGCGACCGAGTAAGGCAGCGAGCACAAAAGTCCAGGCCACGAGTGCACAGGCCCGGGGGCTTCTGAGCACCAGGGAGACCAGGGAGACCTGGGGACGGGTGCACTCTGCGCTCCCCTCGCCACAAGCAGCTCCGCCCAGGTCTCGCCGATCCTGAGGCTTTCTAAGGAAAACTTCCGTAGACACACCAGGCGGACTGCGATCCGTCCTAACCTGTTGGGTGTCCGGCTCCTTCCTGTGATGGTGGAGCTGGGGTTTGAACTGGGGGCCTTGTCCTTGCTAGGTTGCACTCCGCCGCGGGGCTGTGCCTCCGGCCCTCTTTTGTACTGCTCACTTTGGAGGTTGGGGGCCTCCCCGCTAGAATGGCGGGGCTCAGCTCGGGACATGCAGAAGCAGCAGCCCACTTACCGATAGGCAAAATGGGGCAAGGGGTACGGGAGGAAAGGCCGGTGTGCCACGGCGTAGATGTACTGCACCAGGTCGAAGAGGCGGGTAGCGGTTCGGCCTGGCGAGAGGAAGATAAACCACACTGCGGCAAACCAACTGGCTCATCACGTGTCTTTTTTGTTGTTGTTGTTGGTCGTGAGGCTTGAACTCGGGGCCTGGGCGCTGTCCCTCAGCTCTTCAGCTCAAGGCTGGCGCTCCACCATTTGAACCACAGCACCACTTCTGGTTTTCTGGTGGTTCACTGGAGATCAGAGTCTCATGGACTTTCCTGCCAGCAATCCTAAGACTTTTACTGAGTACGTCTAACCTGTCTTGAGAAAGGGTCAACTTCATGTATAGAACATGCTGCCCACCAAAAAGGAGGGTAATTAAAAAAAATAAGCCAGGCACTGGTGGCTCCCGCCTGTCATCCCAGCTACTCAGGAGGCTGAGATCTGAGGATCATGGTTCAAAGCCAGCCCAAGTAGTAAAGTCCTTGAGACTCTCATCTCCGATAAACGACTCAACAAATCTGGAAGTGGTGCTGTGGCTCAAGTGGTAGAGCACCAGCCTTGAGCAAAAGAAGCTCAGGGACAGCGCCTAGGCCCTGAGTTCAAGCCCTAGGCCCAGCAAAAAAATTTAAAAAAAAACTTTACCACGCTGCTTAATGAAAACGATCTTCTCCGCGGTGCGATGCGGTTTGTTTTCAGAGGTATACAAGATGGGCTTTGGGGGTGAATACCTGCTCCCCAGAGGATGTATATCCTCCTGTGTATTGTAAATCACCTCTAGACTACTGACGGAATAAAGTCAAACAGGGTGTAAACGCTTCGGGGGAGTATGCACAGGGCAGGGGGTGCATATTCAGTGTAGACACAATTTTTCCTCTAGATATTGTTGATCTGAAAAGATCAACCCCCCCCCCCCACCCCCACCCCGAGCCACACAGCGACTGAGCTAGTCCAGGCATGAGGACCCTCGGGGAAGCGACACGAATCACTTATAAGCTAGGAGTCGGTAGCTCATGCCTGTAAGCCCAGCTAACTCAGGAAGGAGACTGAGATCTGAGGATCCAGGTTCAAAGCCTGTCTAGACAGGAAAGGCCGTGCGACTCTTACCTCCAATTAATAAAGAAAAAACAAACAAACCTGAAATAGAGCTGTGGCTCAAGTGGTTAAGAGCACCAGCCTTGAGCACAAGCAGCTCAGGGACAGCGCCCAGGCCCTGAGTTCGAGTCCCAGGACCGGCCCCAAGCAAGAGTCTGCCATGGGGCTTCAAGCTCTCACCCGACAAAGGCGAAGGTCTGCCCCTTGGCGTCCGGCTCTCTGGCAGCTTTCACGATGCCTCTGGCGACATCTGACACCTGTGCAAATGATAACGCGTGGAAGCAATTGCTGGCGGAGGGGGCGGGGGAGGGGGGGGCGGGGGAGGGAGGGGGAGAGACGGGGAGGAGGGAGAGACGGGGAGGAGGGAGAGACGGGGAGGAGGGAGAGACGGGGAGGAGGGAGACGGGGAGGAGGGAGAGCAGATGACACTGATTCGCAGCCCACACCAGCCCTGCCCGCTGCGCAGAGCGTTGTGTCTGGCTGCTGGGGAGCCGGGGAGCCTCCTATCCCAGCCCCGTGAGCGCTGGGATTACAGGTGGGCACCGCCACACCTGCGCCCCGCCTTCCAGGCCTGTCTAAGCACAGCTCGGAGGCGAGAGGTCTATGAATGTTTGTCACTGGGGGGTGGCTCTGTGGGCGCCTTTTCAGAGCTGGAGGAGGGGATCCTAGAAGCAGCCAGCAACAGTGCCCACAGCCAACAATTCTCTGGCCCCCAATGCGGGCAAGGGGTCTTGAGAAGCCCTGGGTCAGGCTGGTGTGGAATGGAAGGTGCTCCTTCTCCGGCAGGCTGCCCCCCCCCACCCCGCACCTCTGTGCTCACTCGCTCACTTGTTTGGGGAGCCCCATGGGTCCCCCCAACCTCTGGCAGCACCGATCGTGCTGCTTAAAAGCTGACTGAGATTGGGGTGGGTCTGTCTAGTGGGTGGCTCTCTCTCTGGGGCCGGCACTGCCTGGCGTGTGTGTGTTAATGCTCGCGCTGAGGAAAGCTCCTTCTCAGGAAGACGAAAGGTAGTGAGCACACTGCTGGTTTGCAAGGACCTAGGATGCCCGGCACCGGGGCTCACGCCTGTAATCCCAGCTACTTAGAAGGCTGCGGTCTAGAGATCGCAGGAAAAGTCCGTGAGACTTTTATGTCCAATGAAGGGGCGCTGTGGCTCAAGTGGTTGAGCGCCCGCCTTGCGTGAAAAAGCTCAGGGACAGCGCCCAGGCCCTGGGTTCAAGTCCCAGGATGGCACCAAAACAGAGAGAACAAACCCCAGCAGGAAACGGAGAGTTGATCCCTGAAGGGGGGAGGGCGGCAGGGCCTGGCGAGGCCCCGGCCCTGGGTACTCACAAACACGGGCTGCTTCACGGTCCGCAGGCCCAGGGACACGAGAGGGACCCCGACAAATGACCTCATGTCTGCAGAGACGAGAGCCGTGTTCAGAAGGCCTGGCCAGGCTGCTCACACTCCCCCACCGCCCGGCTCGGACTCCACGGCAGCACGGCGAGCGCAGCTAATCCAAGAGCTCACGGGCCTGGGAAGGAGCCACCACGGGGCGCGGGGACCAGAAACAAGAGGGTGAAGAGACCGAGCACTGGGGGGGGGGGGGGGGGGGGGGGGCCAGGCAGGTCGAGTGACGCACGGCCAGCCATCCCGCCAGGCCCAGCGTGCTCACTAAAGGCTACGAAGATCCACTGGGCTCATGAACAGACACGCTGGGCTGCCAGCCCCTGTGGACGATGACACTGTACCACGACTACTAACAATAGTAACGCCAAGAGTCGAGAATGCGAGAGAGAGAAACACACTTAGGAGGCTCAGAGGAGTGCGCCCCCCCCCCCCCCCCGGCATTTCCCAGACTCACTTGCGAAGTGATTGAGGAATCTATCCTCCCTTCCAAACATGTCGGCAGGCTTGATGATGGTGGCATCCGGAAACGCCTCCCGCACTTCCTGGTCTCCCACGGCCTGGCCAATCGAGCAGGAGAGAGCACTTGAGCACCGAGACGGTGAAGCCGGCTTCCGCTACCCGGCCCCAGGGGCAGGGCTCCTGGGCCTACGGGCAGGCGATCTCGGAGATGCACACCGTCAAGTTACTCATCCGCCCCAGCATGCGGAGGCCGCCGCGACGGGGCAGGAGCACCCGCGCGGGACGTGCCACGCGCGCCCCAGCGGCTGACCTTGCTCCGCAGGGACCGGGCGAAGCTCCTGATGTCAGAGTTGAGGTGTGACACGTGGATGAGCTTCTCCACGCCGGCTTTTCTGGATTCTCTGGCGATCACTTTGGGAATCCGCACAAAAACGTCCTCGAAAGTAAAGTTTCTGGGAGGATAAAGGGGGTGTGGGGTGGGGAGGGGGTGTGAAGATGGCCAGATGTCTAAGCTGGCAGGGGTGGGCTGGTTTTCCTAATCAACCCGAGCTCAACTTTTAAACGGTAGTTGTTTGACTCAAAGTTGGAATTAGGTGTCTCTTCAAAGTTTACGGGCCTCTTTGGGGGTCATTTCTAGCCACGGTTTAAGGTTCGTCCTAAGTTCTAAACCGACATATATAATATTCTATATCCCCAAGGAAGTGTGAGGCTGAGGGTTCCCCCATACCCTGTTTTCTTGGTTTCAAGATAGGGTCTCCCTAAGAGTTTGGGCTGACCTGAAGATCCACTTCCCTTTAAGAAAACCTGGCTTCCAGGCGCTGGTGGCTCACGCCTGTCATCCTAGCTACTCAGGAGGCTGAGATCTGAGGATCGCGGTTCAAACCCAGCCTGGGCAGGAAAGACCGTGAGACTCTTATCTCTAATGAATGGCAGAAAAAGCCAGAAGTGGCTGTGGCTCAAGTGGTAGAGCGCTTGCCTTGAGCAAAAGGAGCTCAGGGGCAGCGCCCAGGCCCTGAGTTCAAGCCCCAGGATCGGCAAAAAAATAAAAAGCAAAAGCGAAAGCTTTTGTGATGGTTGAAGGGGAGGAGGAAGATGTTGCAGGCTAAAAAGGCAAGCCCTCCTCATCCCTGGGACTTTGCATTCCTGGAGGGACAGAGTGAAACTAAAAGTAGAGTCGTCAGTTCGACACGGACCCTGAATTAAATGTTAGTCATTACAGGAGATAGAAAGTTGACTAAGACACTGTAGGCTGTCCGAAACCTTAGTACGTTTGAAGAAACAGACATATGCCAACAGGTTGACATCAAAGGTTCATCAGGACTTAATACAGGGAACTGGTGTTCTGGAGCTATGAGATTACAACATAATTTGTTGATCACCAATGCAATGATGAAATGGTTTTTATGCTATCTTCAAAGAACAAGGCAGAAGCACAATCTAGAACCATCTAGAACATTCCACACACAAAAACCCAATGTGGGGCCTACACAGTGGACCAGGCAACCCTACCCCTGACCCTATCCCACATGGCCGGCTTCGAACCCAGGACCCACAATGGCACTGGCTTTTTATATGTGTTTGGGGGGGGGGAAGGTAAAGTAAGGGGTACAGTCCTGGGGCTTGAAGTTAGGGCCTGGACACGCTGTCCCTGAGCCTGTGTTCAAGGCCAGTGCTCTACCACTGGAGCCACAGCCCACTTCCAGCTTTTTGGTAGTTCATTGGAGATAAAGAGTCTCACGGTCTTCCTACCTAGGCTGGCTTCGATCTGCAATCCTCAGACCGCAGCCTCCTGAGTAGCTAGGATGACCGGCGTGAACCACCGATAGCCAGCTGGTACGGATTTTTCCTTTTGCCAGTCCTGGGGCTTGAACTCAGGGCCTGGGCGCTGTCCCTGAGCTTCTTTGGCTCCAGGCTAGCGCTCTACCCCTTGAGCCACAGCGCCACTTCTGGCTTTTTCTGCATATGTGGTGCTGAGGAATCGAACCCGGGGCTTCATGCATGCTGGGCAAGCGCTCTACCACTGAGCCACCTTCCCAGGAGGGGTACTGCCACCTGAACCTGACGGGTGTCCACGCGACACCTGCTGAGGGGTGCGGGCAAAGTCCACACTATACCTAAAGCAGGTGCCCTGCGAATGGACGCCTCCCGGACGCCGAGGCCCACGCGCGGGAGACTCACCTGGTTTCCCACTCTCTCCCCACGAGGTTGATGACCAGGTTGCTGTGCTGCACGGCTCTCTGGATGGAGCTCTTCTCTCTGGAGTCCCATTCCTGGGGCCAGAAGTAACCAATCAGCTGACACCATGAGGACACACCCCCACCCCAGGCTTGACCTGAGGCCCCGCCCCCTCCATGCCCAGGCCCGTGTCTAACTGGGCCATTCTTTTGTCTGTCACCCAGACCCTGGATCCCATCAGAGATGAGGAGAAGGTCCCCCCTCTCTCCTCGCCCTCCTGGAGACAAAGAGGCCGAGGGACCTTCCAACTCAGGAAACCAGAAAAGAAGTTGCTCGTATTTCAGGGAGCGTGCTGATTTTTGTCCATCCAACTAACCCCTGAGGTAGTAAGGGGATCAGGAGATCCAGTCTCCCTTCCTGAAACCTAGCCAAAGAAGCAAGGGCAGCTGGGACATGGACAAAGAAATACACAGAGACAGACAGACAGACACACACACACAGTGTTTGTTGGCATTGTCAGGGTTTAGACAAGAGCTCAAGCTTTGGACAGGCAGCTTCAGGCTCCCATAGTGGGAAAGCCAGCCACCAGGGTGAGCAAACGATACAGGCCAAACCTGGCCCTTGGCCTGGTTTTGTAAATAAAGTTTTATTGGCACACGTGTTTGTTTACACAGCTGTTTTCAGGACACCTGGGCGCAGCTCAGTCATTATGACCAGGACTCTTTAAAGGGCTGCAGATCCCACGTCCTTTGAACTTCAGGTCCTGGGCAGGAAAGGTTTGCCCACTGCCAGTCTAGAAACCAGAGACACGGGAACTTACGAATGGGGGATGCCTGTGGTTTGTTCTGGATGAAAATCACGCCCTAACAGTGACCCGTCGTTCACAGCTGCTGGCTGAGATGACCAGGCATGAAGTCTTACCATGAAGATTATCTGGCCCAGGTCACCCATGGGGCGAAGGTGCATGAGGTCATACGTGTCACACCGGTAGGGGATAATGATCTGAGTTCCTATTCGGCCTAGGGAAGAATGCATTGAAACAAGACTCATCGACACCGTGATACAACATGATGACGCATTATTCGATGGAGACTTGGAAAGGCTTAAATTCTGCTATGACACTATAAGCTCATGTTCTTGTCGGGTGCTGGTGGCTCACGCCTGTCATCCCAGCTACTCGGGAGGCTGAGATCTGAGGATTGTGGTTCAAAGCCAACCAGGGGCACGAAAGTAGGAGACTCTGATCTCCTGTGAACCACTAGAAAGCTGGAAGTGGCGTTGTGGCTCAAGTGGTAGAGCGCCAGCCTTGAGCAAAAGCAGCTCAGGGACAGCACCCAGGGCCAGGAGCAAAAGAGATAACTAAAATTGATGTTATTTTTAACAAGACTAGTATTTTGCCTTGCCAGCCAAAGCAGACCTAAATTACCTGACTCCAAGGTAGTACGATTTGGGTTTGTTTCCTACCTTTTCTTGCTTACTTTGGGGGTGGGGTGCAGGCTGCGGGCTGACTGGGTTTGGAACTCAGGTCCTCAAGCCTTCTACCCCTTGAGCCAGGTCAGCAGCCGTGTAGTAGCGTCCAATCAAGAGACACGTGGCTCATTCAAATCCCCGTCAAGGGCAATGGGCCCGGTGAGCACAAGGCAGGACTTGTACTTACCAAGGTGGTTGACGACGTACCGGCCCAGGAATCCCGTGGCTCCGAACACAGTGGCCACCAACCCGCTGACAGAGGAGCGGCCCCCTTTGCCGTGAGGTATGACGGCATGGTGGAGCTGGCGATGGCGTGGGCCGCAAAACCCAGCGGTGGCTGCAAGTGCAGAACCTGAAGGCGAACCCGGAGCACGCAGAACACAGAACACAGCGAAGGACCAGGTTAGTTTAAAAGCCACCAGGAACTCAAGTCCTTCTTTTCCCCGAACACCTGCAAGGCTATTTTGTCATCTGGACCTTAGCGATCAAAGTAGCAATGATCATAATCATTACCACATAAAATCCCTGCGACAGGAGGAGATACGGTCTATGCTAGGGGCTCTTGTGAGCCTGGGGAGAGAAGGCTCACTGAGCCATGTGACCATGAGGAAGGAAGGAATCCTGGGAAAAGTGTCCGCAAGGGGGTGTAAAGAAGGAATTAACAAGCCGGGCGCTGGTGGCTCACGCCTGTCATCCCAGCTACTCAGGAGGCTGAGATCTGAGGATCGAGGTTCAAGGCCATCCTGGGCAGGAAGGAAAGTCCATGAGACTCTGATCTCCAAGGAACCACCAGAAAACCTGAAGTGGCGCTGTGGCTCAAGTGGTAGAGCGCTAGCCTTGAGCTGAAGAGCTGAGGGACAGTGCCCAGGTTCTAAAGTTCAAGCCCCACGACTTACAAAAAAAAAAAAAGGAATAACAGAGAATTCCAAACTGGGAGCTGGTGGTTCACGCCTGGAATCCCAGCATACTGAGATCTGAGGATCGAAGCCAGCCCAGGAAGGAAAGTCCAGGAGACGTTTATCTCTAATAAACTACCAAAAAGCTGCAAGTGGAGCTGGGGCTCAAGTAGTAGAATGTCAGCCTTGAGCAAAAGAAGCTCAGGAATGGCTTCTTTACGAAGCTCCCAGTTCACAGAGCTGAGTGTTTACCACAGGTCGTAAAGCAGCTGCCATGCTGCCGGGCAAACAGAATGTGCTCAGGAAATGCAAGCCGGCCGCTTGGGTCCCAGCATCCCCATTCTCCCGTGTATGATGAATACCGTTAGGAGAATAATATTCTTTATCCATTATGCATTTTGCATGGATTAATTCCTCTGCTCAAAGTTTCCATCAGTTTGGCATGCTGATATCCAGATGCTCACTTGCAGGGTAACCTAATTTCTTCTTTAACATACTTAAAAGCTATACAATTATGTACTTTACGGTGGTGTGGCATACATCCAATAGCACATATTTCATATATCACAGATCACATAGATCGCAACTGGACTTACCTAAAAAAGAACCTTGTTAGTATTACAGAAAACATTTCTATGAGTTATAATACTGTATGGGATGTGTGTGTGCGTGCGCGCGCGTGCTGGTCCTGGGGCATGTACTTAAGAGTCTAGACGCTATCCCAAGACTTTCTGGTGGTTCACTGGAGATCAAAGTCTCCTAGACTTCCTTTGCCAGGGCTGGCTTCAAACCACAGCGCTCAGATGTCAACCTCCTGAGTTGCTGGGATTACAGGCGTGAGCACCAGTACCTGGCTGTATGGACCTTCTCAGGAAACCCACCTAGGAAACTGCTGAGCCTCGATTATCCATTCCCTCCTAACCCCCAGGGACCACAGCCACGCCACTCTCAGAATACTTCGCTGCATTCTTTCCACCCTGTCTCCCTCCCTCTCTTTTCTTAGCATACACTGGTTGTACAGTGGTGTTCTACTGTAATATTCCACCGTAATACTCCACCAGTTCTTTGCCTGTAGGAAATGCACTCATTTGCTGGCTTTCAGGCTCACCCCAGCAACCAGTGAAGGAAGATTTTTCTAGAATGCCATTCTCCACTGGCGTCCCAATCATCCATCAGTGGCCCCAAGGAACCAAAATCTCCTCTTTTTAAAACTTCATATTGTGCTTCGTGGTCATCACATTTAAGCACAATTTATCTGTGTCTTCGTTACATGTGCTTTTTACCAAGCATGGCCAAAACATAAAGCAAAAAAAAAACAAGAGAATCTTCAACGACAAAATTGCTGTTTAAAAAGCTGTTTGGTTTTTTGGTAGATGTGGTGTGTGTGTGTGGGTGTGTGTATGTGTGCGTGTGCGCGTGCACACACACCAGTACTGACGCTTGAAGTCAGGGCTTGAGCGCCATCCCTTAGCTTTCTTTAAGCTCAAGGCACACTTGAGCTGCATCTCCACATCTGGCTTTCTGGTGGTTCCTTGGAGACAGAAGTCTCATGGACTTCCTGTGTGGGCTGGCTTCAAACCATGATCCTCATAGCTCAGCCTCCTGAGCAGCTGGGATTAGAGGCATCAGCTGCCAGTGCTTGGATAAAAACCACTTTTTTTTAATTGATGCAGAAGCTGAGTTCCACATTCTCATCAGCTGTGTTTAAATTGTCCCGCGATCTGTGAAAATCTGCCTCCTGAGGAGAGCATATGGCGTCCACAAGAGCCAGCTAATGTGCTTCATTGAATTGATGAAATATTTTACGTTTTTTTGTGGCGGGGAGGGATGGTCTCTTCAGAACCACATTCCAGTGAGCACCAAGGCTCCCCTCAATGCACCTGCCTGTCTAGACTTTACCCCAAAGCTGGCTTTCTTTGCTTTTTCTTAAACTAATACTTTTCCCCCGCAATTTACTTACTTGTTGTTATAGAGGTGATGTACAGAGGGGTTACGTTTATGAGTCTGGAAGTGAGTAATTTCCTTTTGTACAGTATCACTGGTTTCTGCATTCTCTCCCGTCCCTCCCTCCCTCCCGTCTTCACCCATGTGGAGTTCACTTTCACCCGTGTCCTGTGAGCTCCACGCCTGTGCTTTTCCACCCTTTTGTCCCTGAGTTCTGTGCCCTGAGTTTCTCCCTTCCACCCGCCCCTCCCCGAAGATGCACACATGAATACGCAGCATACATAAAGAAGACAGAAGCACCAAAAACTAAACAAGAAAAAAAGTCTTGTTTCCATCTATCTCTTGGAGGTGTTTTCAGTATATCATTGAATATAAATATGAAGACGTGCTTAGGCTGTTTGTGCCTTTGTGAGTCTCTCCTAAGAGCATCCTCTTTTGGTCTTCCTGTGTGTGTGTCTAGGATCCTGTGTAATTTGTCATTTCTTGGTACATTTCTGATCTACTTCCACATATCAGAAAGAACATGATGAATACACTTTTTTTTTTTTTATGGTCGGTCATGGGGCTTGAACTCTGGGCCTGGGCGCTGTCCCTCAGCTCCTCAGCTCAAGGCGAGTGCTCTACCACTTGAGCCACAGTGCTACTTCCTGAATACACTTTTGCCAGGCTGTCATGTGACTTGGTACCCAAGGGCTGCAGGCACAGGTCCCCCACTTCCTCCTCGGAGTCTCACCTGTTCAGGTAGCATGTACCAACACCTTCCCAACTGCATGCCGGAACTCTAACCAAGACGGAAAGCGAAAAGGAATCCTCTACACACTCCTGACTCTCCACTTCTGCTGGACACGGGAACTACCTGAGGCGATTTTTTTTAAGACACCGGGAACTAATCTTAACTGATCTGAGAGATCTAAAATGAATCCCCAAAGCCCGGTGCTAGTGGCGCACACCTGTCATCCTAGCTACTCGGGAGGCTGAAAGCTGAGGATCACAGTTCAAAGCTGGCCCAGCCAGGAAAGTCCCCATGAGACTCTTACCTCCAATAAACTGGTCAAGAAAAGCCAGAAGTGGTGCTGTGGCTCAAGTGGTAGAGTGCTAGCCTTGAGCACAAAGTGGCTAAGGGACAGTGCCCAGGCCCTGAGTTCAAGCCCTAGGACTAGCAAAATAAAATCAAATGACATAAAAAAGAAAACAAGCCCTTTTTTTTTTTTAAAGTCTTCCTAAGGCTCACAGAGGGAGACACTGATCGAGATTCGTTGCATGCTTCTACTACTTTGCTGGATGACAGCTCCCTTCATTCAACTACTTAAGGGATTAAAAATAAAAGCTCGCTGGACACTCGTGGCTCCCACCTGACATCCCAGCAACTCAGGAGGCTGAGATCTGAGGATCAGGGTTCAAAGCCAGCCCTGGAAAGTCCATGAGACTCTGATCTCCAAGGAACCAGCACACAAAAAAAGCCAGAAGTGGTGCAGTGGCTCAAGTGGCAGAGCCTTGAGCTGAAGAGCTGAGGGACAGCGCCCAGGCCGTGAGTTCAAACCCCATGGTTGACCAAAAATATATAAAATAAATAAAGCTCTCAGTGACCCTGAAGCGACCTTCGAGAGCAGACAACACGGTGCAGACTTAGAACACACTATGGAAAAGCAACTTTTGGGGGAGTGGGGTGGGAGGGGAAGGGTAGCCCGGGGAAAGACGGTGATGAAGGGTGATCATTCTCCCAACAGCTTTGCGTTACTTTGGGGGGTGGTGAAGGGACGATCAGCCTCGGGCCCCAGGCAGGATCCCACCCCCGGGGGCAGCGCTGGAGGCCTGCAGACCCCCAGGCTAACCTCGGGCCTCCTCCTGCCCCCCACCCGGCATCCCTCCCCAGGCCGGATCCCCCTGTACCCCGCATCCCCCCACCCCACATCCCTCCCCAGGCCGGATCCCCCCACCTCACATCCCCCAACCCCACACCCCCTCACCCAGCATCCCCCGCACCCCTCAAACCTGCACCCCCTCACCCCGCATCCCTCCCCACCCCACATCCCTCCCCAGGCCGGATCCCCCCACCCTGCATCCCCCTGCACCCCCCAACCCCACACCCCCTCACCCAGCATCCCCCTGTACCCCCCAAACCCGCACCCCCCCACCCCACATCCCTCCCCAACCCGCACCCCCCACCCCCTCCCACCCCGCATCTCCCGGCACCCCGCATCCCCCCGCACCCCCCCACCCCGCATCCCTCCCCATCCCGCACCCCCCCAACCGCATCCTCCCGCATCCCCCCTCACCCCGCACCCCTCCTCACCCCGCACCCCTCCCCACCCCGCACCCTGCATCCCCCCGCACCCCGCATCCCCCGGCACCCCCCTCCCCCCGCATCCCTCCCCACCCCTCACCCCGCATCCCCCCGCACCCCGCATCCCCCCGCAACCCCCTCCCCCCCGCACCCCGCATCCCCCCGCACCCCCCTCACCCCGCATCCCCCCGCACCCCCCTCACCCCGCACCCCCCTCACCCCGCACCCCCCTCACCCCCCTCACCCCGCACCCCCCCGCACCCCGCATCCCCCCGCACCCCCCTCACCCCGCATCCCCCCACCCCGCACCCCCCACCCCCCCACCCCGCACCCCCTCACCCCGCATCCCCCACCCCGCATCCCCCCCGCACCCCCCTCACCCCGCGCCCCCGCCCCGCATCCCTCCCCACCCCGCACCCCCTCCCCACCCTGCACCCCCCCACCCCGCATCTCTCCCCACCCTGCACCCCCCCTGCTCCCCCCCACCCTGCATCCCTCCCCACTCCACATCCCCCCGCACCCCCTCACCCCGTACCCCCCGCACCCCCCTCACCCCGCACCCCCCCGCACCCCCTCACCCCGCACCGCGCCCTCGACTCCCCGCGCCCCCGCCCCGCGTCCTCGGCTCCCCGTGGCCCCCACCCCGCCCCCCGCCCCCGGCTCCCCGTGGCCCCCACCCCGCCCCCCGCCCCCCGCCCCGCGCCCTCGACTCCCCTCACCCCGCCCCCCGCCCCGCGCCCTCGGCTCCCCTCACCCCGCCCCCCGCCCCGCGCCCTCGGCTCCCCGCACCCCCACCCCGCACCCCCACCCCGCATCCCCGCACCCCCACCCCGCACCCCCACCCCGCATCCCCGCACCCCACCCCGCATCCCCGCACCCCACCCCGCATCCCCGCACCCCCACCCCGCATCCCCGCACCCCCACCCCGCATCCCCGCACCCCCACCCCGCATCCCCGCACCCCGCCCCGCGCCCTCGGCTCCCCGCCCCGCGCCCTCGGCTCCCCGCACCCCGCACCCCCGCCCCCCGCCCTCGGCTCCCCGCCCCGCGCCCTCGGCTCCCCGCCCCGCGCCCTCGGCTCCCCGCACCCCGCACCCCCGCCCCCCGCCCTCGGCTCCCCGTGGCCCCGTCCCGGCTGGGAGCCCCGGCGCCGTCCGGCGGGGCCCCGCGGGGCAGGCCTGCCGGGCCCGCGCGCGCCTCGCGGGCTCGAGTCGGTGGGAGCCGCGACCCCTCGACCGCGGGCGCGACGCCGGGCCCCGCGCCTGCGCCCCGCCCCGCGCCGGGGGCCGCGGCGCCGCCGACACTTACGTGACATTGGCCAAGCCCGGGCGACCCGGGGCGGAGCGGCGGCCGCCATGCTGCCTCCCACGGTCCCCCGCGCGGGCGGTGCGTGCGTGCGTGCGCGCGCGCGCCGGGCCGCGGGCCGGCGACGGACACCCGCGGGGGCCAACCTTCCTCGTTCCGCGTGGCGCCTGCGCCTGCGCCGGGAGCGCCGGACCGGAAGGGGCGGGCCGAAGGGGGCTGCGTCGGTTGGGCCGCCGAGGGGCCGCGAAGGTGGCGGGCGCGCCGAGCGACGGGGCCGGGCCTGAGGGCACGCGGAGTGCCGCGGGCTCGGACGCGCCGTCAGGGCGGAGCTGCCGAGGCCGAGCAGGCTGCGAGGCCACGGCCGCCCGGCCTCCGGCTGCGGGGTGGCGGGGAGGCCGCCCGGGCCGGGGCGGGCGGCGCGCGCAGCAGCGAGGCGGCCCAGATCCGTGCATGCGGAGTCCTTCGAGAACATTCTCGGGGGGGGGGGGGGACCCTTTCCCTCCCACACGGGGAAAGACGACTCAGCACAGCAGCATGGCGCCCCCAGATCGATGCATGTGGAATCCTTCGAGAACATTCTCTCGGGGGTGGGGAACCCTTTCCCTCCCCCCCCCTACCCCGGGCCCCAGGCGAGGACGGCTCAGCACAGCAGCGTGCCCCCCCCCCCATCGATGTATGTGGAGTCCTTCGAGAACATTCTGTGGGGGGTAGGGAACCCTTTCCCTCCCCCCCCCCCACCCCGGGCCCGGGGAAAGACGACTCTGAGTACAGCAGCGTGGCGGCCCCAGATGGATGCATGTGGAGTCCTTCGAGAACATTCTCTCTACGGGGGGGGGGGGAACCCTTTCTTCTCCCCCCCACCCCAGGCCCGGGGAAGGATAACTCTGCCCAGGATCGCCGTGGCCCAGGTGGGTGCTGACGGCCTCTGCCCCGGGGTCTAATGTGGGTTGGGGGTTGGTTGGTTATTTGAATATCATGTTTTCATTCTGTCTATAATTAACGTGCTTTATTGGTCCTACAGAGGTGGTGTACAGAGGAATCCCGACGACACGAGTCAGGGGATGCGCACACTCTCCCACCCACCCACGAGGCGGACAGTTCCCTCACCCACGTCCCAAGAGCTCCACGGCTGCGTTTGGTCTCCCTCCAGCTCCGGGACCTCCCGAAGGTAACACACGTGAATACACCATACAGAAAGAAGGCAGAATCAGCAAGAAAATGCAGATTAAAAAAAAAAAAAAAGTAAAGAAGGGGGAAAAAAGTCCCTTTATTTTTCCCAGTCCTGGGGCTTGAACTCAGCTCCGGGACGCAGTTCCTGAGCTTCTTTGGCTCAAGGCTAGTGCTCTACCACTTGAGCCACAGCACCACTTCTGGCTCTTTCTGTGTATGTGGTACTAAGGCATGGAACCCAGGGCTTCATGCATGCCAGGCAAGCACTCTACCACTGAGCCACATCCCAAGTTTTTCTCTTTAAAAAGAAGTCATTATAAAAACGGAAGGACAAAGGGTGAACAAAGGCAGTGGTGGTCCTCACTGGACACTATGTGGAAAATGAACTCTACAACTTGTGGGTGGGGACAGGAGGGGAAAACTGGGAGAGAGGAAGGGAAGGAGGTGACACTGTCCAAAAAGAAATGTGCTCACTGACTTATATACAGTTACCAGTTTGGGAGTTTTAGTTCTTTTATGGAAGCACTTAGCCACCATGAGACTGACAATTCCAGGAGAGCTTCAGGGGTGAATCTGGAGTGTTTGTTAGGCATCTGAAGAGTTTGTTGGGTTTTTTGTATTTGGGGGGGGGGAAGGGAGGGAGAGGAGTACTAGTCCTGGGCCAGAATGCTGTCCCCAAGCTTTTCCACTCAAGGCTAGTGCTCTGCCACTTTAGTTACAGCTCTACTTCTTTTTGTTTATTAATTGGAGCTAAGAGTGTTACAGACTTTCCTGCCTGGGCTTCTTTCAAACCACAATAATCTAGATTTTAGCCTTCTTAGTAGTTAGGACTACCCGATGACACTGATACCCAAGAATTGTTATTTTCTATAGGGAAACTCCAGTTGGCTCTCTAGAGGAATGGCTTTTTGTGTGTTTGTTTTTGCCATAGATCCCTTTGAGGATTTGCATGGGTCTAGAGACTTCTGGAATCAGTAGAGTCTAGAAGTTTTAAAGTACGTTAGCCAGGCACCGGCAGCTCATGCCGTTTGCAGCTTGCAGTAACAGAGTTCAAGCCCCAGGACCAGGAGACAGACAAACACACAAAGACCAAATAGCTAGTTGCTATCTATGCCTGTGCTTGCATTATGGCTTTCAAGGTATTGTATAATTGCTTGTAGTGTTTGTGTGTGCACCCTTTTAAGAACACTGACTCTCATAAACAGGTTATTTGACTAATTCCATTCTTGTAATTCTTCGATGTAGCTGTACCATCCACACCTTGCAGTGGTAAGTAGCGCCTGTGCTCTTGCTTTCATAGTTATTCTGAGGGTCTGTGGCATGAAGTGTTTTCTGCAAGGTGGCAGATGTGGGCATGTGCAGTCCCAGTGCTACCGAAGTGTCAAAACAAAACACAAGTCCTTCTGGCCTACCTTCAGTAGGCTGGGATCTGAGGACTGTGGCTCAAAGCCAGCCCCCATAGAAAAGTCTACAAGATTAGCCATCAAAAAGGCAGAAGTGGAGTTGTGGCTCAAGTGGTAGAGTGCTATCTTTGAGTGAAAAAACTAAGGGGAAGCCTCCAAGCCCTGAGTTTGAGCCCCAGTACTGTCACACACACACACACAAAATATTTTTCTTGCTTTTTTTCTTTTTGTTGGTGGTAGTGGGGGGGAGGCACTGTCCCTCAGTTCAACTCAAGGCTAGCACTCTACCACTTGAGCCACAGCACCACTTCTGGCTTTCTTCACTTATGTGGTATTGAGGAATCGAACCCAGGGCTTCATACATGCAAGGCAAGCACTCTGCCTCTGAGCCACCTTCCAGGCGCGCCCCCCCCCCCCCCACACACACACACAATTTTAAGAGTCAACCAAGTACAATTTCTTTAAAGATACAGCAACTGAGATCTGATAAAAAGATAAGCAGCCACTTCCGGCTTTTTTTTCTTATGTGGTGCTGAGGAATCGAACCCAGGGCCTCAGGCACTGAGCCACCTTCCCAGCCCCTTGACTCTGTTTTTAAGCTATCTTTTTGCCTTCGGGGGAATTCTTTTGGCTTCCTGGAACTGTGCTCATCTTATATATAACCATTAATTGCAGGTATTTAACACTTTGGAGGAGGATGGTACCAGAGTTTGAACTCAGAGCCTTGTACTTTTTGGGCTTGCTTGCTCAGCTGAGCAACACTCCAGTGCTACTTTTAGCTGATTAGTTTTTAGAGATTGGGTCCCCAGGTTGCTGGATGTATGAGACACCATTACCTGACACCCTTTTTTAAATTTTTAAGTAGTACTGGGGTTTGAACTCGGGACTTGTGAAGCAGATACTCTACCACTTGAGCCTCAAAGTAACATTTCTCAAGAGACTATATGAAGCTGGGCACTGGTGGCTCATACCTACAGTCCTCACTACCCAGATGACTGAGATCCAGAGGACCATGATTCAAAGCCAGCCTTGGTAGGAAAGTTTATATGGCTCCATCTCTAACCAGCAAAATAACAGACTGGAGGTTCAGGTGGTGAAGTACCAACACACCAAGCCAAAGTGTGAAGGCCTGTTGATGTTTCCCAGCTTGGTTCCTCAGTTTAGTTATTGGGTAGAGTATATTAGTGCTAGTGTGTTGCTTATCTAAAGCAATTTATAACCTAGAAGGAGGGAGGAAGGGAGGCAGAGAGGGAGGGATAAATGAAAATTACTACAACTTTACACAAAATATCCAGAAGGTTTGGGGTTGTTTCTTTTCTGTTGTTGTTTGCTAGTATCAGGGTTTGAGCTCAGCTTGCTTACTGAGCTAGAGCTCTACCACTTGAGCCACCCCTCCATCACAGCTTTTTGCTGTTGGAGTCACGGACTTTTCTACCTGGGCTGGTTTGAAACCTCCAGTCTTGAGATCTCAGCCTCGGCAGGGTAGCCAGGAAGGAATACAGGTAGGAGCCAGTGCCAGTCGAAAAGGTCTATTTTTACAAAAAATAAGATTAAAGGCTTGTAAATGGGATTCCAAGCTGGCTCCAACACAACGAATTGATTTCCTGGGCTTTGAATTCGCCTCTCAATTGTTATTCTCCTCTCCAGCCATCTGAGTTCATTACTAGTATTTACTCTGTTGTTTTTGGTTGGCGTCCATTCGGAAAGCCTCTTCCCATGTCCCCCACCTCTGCGAGAGAGGCAGCCAGCCCCGCAGTGCCGCTTCGCCCTCCCCCTCACCTGCCCCTGACCCCTCTGGTAGCCTCACAGGGTTGCCATGGAGACGGTGACGTCACCAGTTGCAATTCTGATGTCACTCCCCAGTCCCAACAAGGGTGAGGTGCATGGAAGGCTGGAGGAGGAATCAAGATCTTGAGCTGAGCAAGAACATCCCAGCCCAGCATCTTTGTTGACTTTCAAAGTGTGTTCTGGAATCTTCTGTGGTTCACTGTTCGCGAGCTACAGAGGTAGGCAACCCCACTGGGCCAATAAAGCCACCCCGGAACAATCAGAGGGCGTTTTACCCATCTCAGACGAGCCTCACCACGGAGGACATGGAAAGCAGAGGAAGAGCGTTAGGACATGTTAGCTCTGTGTTGGTTGGGTGTATTTGACTGCCTGAGGTTATGTGTTCAAATTCCCCAAAAGAATCCCTGCAGAGTGTTGTGAGATCCGGGAATTGGGATTACTTATCCCCCTTCCTGCCTCTTCCCCTTCCAGCTTCGACCCAAGCTTGTTAGGGATCGGGGTGTAGATTCCCCAGAATTCTCCCTATGTAGCAGTGATTTGAGGCAAAGAATGACAGTAGTCATTTCCAGAATTATCCCTGGAACTTTTTTTTTTTTTTTTTTGCCATCTCCCAACTGTCCGAATGCCCTAAGGGTAAAACGGGGGGCACTGGGGTCACAGGAGGAAGAGCAGCCGCTGGCAAGCTTCCTGGGGCCGAACTCTCTCCAAAGGTGGTGGTAACAGCCCTGGTTGGAGGAGAGGAACTCTCGAGAGTTCTTAGTCTCTGCGTGCTTCCTCTCCCTCTCAGCCCAGGGAATAGCTGCTTTCTGCACTTGCTCTTCCTGGAATTCCTAAATAAAGTCCTTCCCCTTCATGACTTTTAGTTGTGTATACGTGTTAAATCACTACCACCTAAAACCTCTGTGAACTTGAAATGTTATTTTGTGCTGGTCATTTGAGTGCACGTATGAAAACATCAAGTAAGTCAGGTTCCTCATTGTTATAACAGCAGTAGAATTCGTATGTAAAATTAATCATGTGTATGTGTGTGTGTGTGTCTTCCCATTGCAGATTCCTTATCTTATTACATGGCAGGAGGGGTTGATAAAGTTAGGAATAGTGAAGACAACTTATTAATCAAGAGCTTTCCTCATACCTCAGAACCCGTCCTCAGAAAGAGTAAGTCACCACTTACGTTCTTAAGCTTACCATAGTATATACAGCTGAAATGAGGCTGTTGGTGCGGAGAAGCACCTCACTGAAATGAAATACAAAGTGGAGATTAAGAGACGTACAGTTCTGGCTCTGATTTGCACTGTCAACCATCTGGTTTTCTCAGAGTTCGGTGAAGTGATAATCATTCTTTACTTCATTAGTTCTTTTCTTCGTGGTTACAGTGCAAGCATACAACCTTTTTGAGGGCGGGGATGTGGCTCGGTGGTACAGCCCTAGCCAAGCATATACAAGGCCCTGGGTTCCATTCCCAGCACCACCAAGAGAAAAGATTGTATATGTGATACTGGATCATGTGTTACACATGCACATGTCACGTGTATGGCGTAGATGGTATGTTATATATTGTATATATCATAGCTATCTATCTATCTATCTATATATATATATACACATATGTGATACACGAGCTGTTATAGAAAATGTCATCTCACCTCATAGACATTAACTTCCTTGCTAAGATAACAAAACATTATGCAAAGGTAACAAAGTTAGGAAATCCATCTCAGGAAAAAAGTTTGTCTCCCTCCCCTCCCCCCCTACAATTATCTTTCCAAAGCTTGCCCACCTTCCTTAGAGTCTCTCCAGATGAACCCCTGGCTCAGGATTCACTAAGTTCTGAGTGTGCATTAGAAGGTCACCCAGAGAACTTCTACAGCATTTCCTGTGCCTGTATTTCCTCAATCCAAAACCAGTTGAAAGAAGATTTTCTGGAAATGGTAGCTCAGATTCAGTCAGCATCCCTTTTGTCCATGAGAGAGGGACTGGCTTGGAACCTAGACTGGCCTCAAAACTTGTGATCCTCCTCCTCCCTCCGGGATTACAGGCATGTAGCATCATGCCTAGGCTCGATTTGGTATCTTCCAACGGTTCCTTGAGTAGTGGGGGGGGGGGGGGGCGGTAATCAATGTGGAGAGCCCATTGCATTATGTTCTAAGCAGGAGTGAGGAACTTTTCCTTGTTTAGCGACTGAGTCCCTAGAGAGGGGAGGCAGGTTTAAATCTATCTTTGTGGGCACAAAGAACAAGCATCTTAATAGTTAGCCACGCTTCTTTGTAACTCATGATGCATCCGTTTGTGCCTTCCACCGGGCTTATCCATACCCTCATCACCGCCACAGTCCTCTAAAACGAACATTGCTAGTGAGCCAGACACTTCCTGTGGACCGGCTTTGAAATGTGGCCAGGGAGCACAGAGCAGGCGCCCATCCGGTGCTGCTTCTAGCGATAGGCCACTGATTCTAAGCAGCTGTATATAAATACCACTTCAGCTTAGGATAACAAACAGGTCAGTCATCAGCATCAGCATCATATAGCCTCGGTTAAGTAGAACCAGGCAAGAGGGAAGGTAATGTGCTCTGGTTACATTTAGTTCGGAGTGTCCACGGAGAATCTGAAGGTGCAGGGAGGGTTGAAAAGCAAGTCATGATCACAGAGAGCACATATGAGCCTGAGCACACGCCAGCACTGGCCCCATCCCTGAAGAGACACGTGTGTTGGAAGAGCAGCGGATAAAAATACCCAGAGTTCAGTGTGTCTCCCAGGCTCTTGTGTCTGGTTCCAGTTGAAAACACTGCTTCCTGCATCCTGGCGATCACTGATTTTGTGCTCCCTGTCCTTGGTGATTTTTTTTTTCTTTTTTCCCCTTTTCCTTGTAGATGGCGGATAAGGTTGACTGGTTACAAAGCCAAAATGGAGTCTGCAAAGTTGATGTCTATTCCCCTGGAGACAGCCAACCCCAGGAATGGAAAGTGGTAAGGGTGAATGTCTTCCTCAGCACTGAGCTACAGATGTGGAGCTGAGTCTGACTCCACCGTCTGGGGCGGGGGTGCACATGTGCATGCACGTGTGTTAGCACTGGGGCTAGAACCCACAGCCTAGGCCCTGTCAGCTGGTGCTCTTACCGTGTGAGCCACAGCTCTGTTTCCAGTTTTTTGATGGCTAATTGGAAATAAAAGTCATGCAGATTTCTTCCCCAGGCTGGCTTTGAACCACAATTCTCAGATCTCAGCCTCCTGACTAGCTGACAGGTATGAGCCACTAGCATCCAGCCCCTTATTAGAAAGTGGTGGTCTTGGTGGGGGAAAAAGAATGAGTTCCTTATACATGAAAAAAATTCCCAATTTTTTTTCAACAAATTCTATACTCAAAATCCAAAATAGGAGTTGCTGGCATGGCTCCCTCCCTGCCTCCCTCCCTCCCTCCCTCCCTCCCTTCCTTTCCTTCCCACTATTATACAGCAGCCAGTGAACAAAAGTAGCCAATACCAAGTTCATGTCCCAGTCTCTAAAGAAACCCAAAACAGAAACTATGACATAGTGTTCAGTAGGAGAAATAGGCTATGACCTTTAAAAAGTAGGTACCGTAGCTGTCATTTTTGTTTGGTTTTTACTCTTCAAGCAGCTGTGGGTTGGAAGGAGATAACTACAAGGCTCCTCCTAGAAGGTGCTTTGCTAAATTTAGGGTAGGAAGTCTGCAGAGACTAAGAACTGTATCTCGTCTCCCTGTTGTTACGCTCAGCAGCCTCTAAACTTTACCCAGCCTCAGCCACTGGCACAAGCAAGATCCCACTGGAAGATGGCAAAGCACACCAGTGATTTAACACATATCCACGACCAAAAGACATGAAGAGGAGGGACTTCAGGAATTCCAGAAGGAACAAGTGCAGAAAGCAGCTATTCCCCTGGGCTGAGGGAGAGGGAAAGGGAGAGGGAGCAGGCAGAGACTAAGAGTTCGTCTCCTCCAACCAGGGCTGCTTCCACGACCTTTGGAGAGAGCAGGGCCCACAGGAAGCTTGCCAGCGGCTGCCCTTCGTCCTGTGACCCCAATGCCCCCCGCTCCCCCAGTGCCCTCTGTTGACAAAGCCACCAGGACAACATTTCAACAGTCTAGACCCAGAGTCACAAAGCAAGGCCTTCAGTTAGGGTGGGTTTGGGTTGAAGCCAGTGTCTTTGCATAGACCTCTAGGGAAAGGTATTAAGAACCATGAAAGTACATGAAAGCTGGGCATCATGGCTCACGCCTGTAATCCTAGCTACTCAGGGAGCTGAGATCTGAGGATTGAGGTTCAAAGCCAGCCCGGACAGGAAAGTCTGTGATACTCGATACCAGAAGTAGAGCTGTGGCTCAAGCAGTAAAGCTTCAGTCTTAAGTGAAAAAGCTAAAGAACAGAGCACAGGACCTGCATTCATGGAGATGCGCACACACACACGCATGCACGCACACACACGTGCACGCACACACACACACACGCAGGCGCACACGCCCACCCGCGCACGCACACACACACGCAGGCGCACACGCACGCAGGCACGCACGCACGCACACACACGCACGCACACACACACGCAGGCACGCACACGCAGGCACGCACATACGTGCACACACGCACGCACACGCACACACGTACACACACACATGCACGCACACACATGCACGCACACACACACACACACACACAGGAAGAAGAGTCTCATATTCTAGTGCAATCATTATCACAGTCCATGGCAGGGCATTAATGTTCACCAAACATCTGTTCCCATTAGTCCAGATGATCCATCTTCTGTCTGTCTGCCTCCCTCCCTGCCTCCCTCCCTCCCTCCCCCCTTCCCTTCCTCCCTGCCTGCCTCCCTGCCTGCCTCCCTCCCTGCCTGCCTCCCTCCCTCCCTCCCTCCCTCCCTCCCTCCCTCTCTCCTTCCTTTCCTTCCCACTATTATACAAGAGGATGCGTCATTACTGTTCCGCACCCGTGTACACAGTGCATTCTGGCCAGTCTCACAGCCTCTGTTCTCCACATCCTCTGTTTCACTGTATTTTCCTGGTTGCAGGAACTCCTCCGTTTGCTCAGTCCAGCCCCCACGGGTTTGTTCTCTTTCTTGGTCCCCCATTCCCTGTTCATCAGCAGCTCGATTCTTGGAGGGTCTCTATGTGGCTTCCACAGACAGTTACACGTTGTATTACAGAACTATTCTTCCTCTCCCCAGATCTGTTTTCTTATCCATAAGACCCTAAGAGAGCAAACACTGGCAAAGCCACTTCAAACTTGAAGGCATGTGAGTCATGAATGTGAAACTCCTGCAGTCTGACAACTTTTGTAGGTGCTCCCGTGGGGTCCTCTCCTGACCTCTGCCCTGTCCTGTAGGGAAAAGGCAGATTCCTGTTCCTGTGAGATGAAATGAATGAAAATTTCATTCTGTTTTGTCTTGCTTTGTCTTGCTAATTGAGAAGCATTTCGAGAGATTAAAAACAGAACAGAAAAAATTCTGCCTGTGAGCTTTAACCATTCACCATCTCACCATGTGAAAATCGAAATAGAACTTTAAGGCTCTAAGAAATGGACACACGTATAACCACAGCTCAGGAGTATTTACCAAGTGGACTGGCTCCGGCCAGGGCTGTAGTGGTTAAGGAAGGGGGCGTGGCCAGAGCTAATGAGGGAAGAGGGACGCTGCTGAACAGAAACCTTCCCATACTCCTCGAGGAGAACTTGACTCAGAAGTGCCACTGCTTAACAGGAGACACAGCGGGTCTGCAGAGATGGCCGGCTGGATGGCAGTGGCAGGAAAATTAACGTGTGGACTTGATCTTTGGGCCCAGAACCCACATTGCTTTAAGTCACCTGGAGTCTTGGAGTGTGCACATTTTAGACTTTAAAAAAAAGCCGGAGGCACCAGTGGCTCACACCTGTAATCCTAACGACTCAGGAGGCTGGGGTCTAAGGGTCACAGTTTGAAGCCGGCTGTGGCAGAAAAGTGAACCAGCAAAAGGCCGGAGGGGGAGCTGTAAATCAAGTGGTAGAGCGCCAGCCTTGAGCACAAAAGCTCAGGGACAGTGCCCAGGTCTTGAGTTCAGGCCCTAGCCAGGACACACACACATACACAAACAAATGGTTGCGGTACTCATTTGACGCAATAGTTCTGGAGAAGTTTGTAGCTAGGTCTGTTTGGGCAGGAACTGCAGGTTATATGCCTGGCACGGCCAGGCTCTCAGAGTCAGGAAGAGCAGCACTGGAGGAATTGAAAGCTAATACACCTCATGCAAACTTCCAATAGCGTAAACACAAGGAGATCGATTGTCAGGCCCCATCTGGTAAGACCAGCCTCCCCTTGTGACCAAGAGAACTCTTAGGGATTATTTCTGACTGAAGTGTAGATGGTTGTGGTGTGATCCATGTGGGCTGCTAGTTGGTTCTTGGTTGTATTTTACTCTGGAGCCAGTGGTTGGACTGGTGTGCGCGAGACGTTCCAGATACACATCGCCACCCTTCGCTTAGTTTCCTTCATGAAAGGGGGAAAAGAGTAACTCTTTTGAAAAGGGATTTTGATTAAAATACGTGGTTGAAGCTAGGCACTGGTAGGGCACGCCGCCAGCCCAGGCAGGAAAGGATCTTTTCAGTGGGGCTGACAACCTCTTAGACCCTAAGAAACTGGGGACTCTGGCCTCCCACTTAGGCCTTGAAAGGCTCATAATGACCTTTTGGTTTCTTGTAAAATGGGGATCATGATAGGGTATTAACGTGGAGCCTTATGATGAGAACCCCATTCAATGAGATAGTGGTAACAGAAGCCCTAAGTCCGCACCTGGTCCCCCAGTACGCACTCGATAAACGTGGGTCTCCTTTGTCGGGAGCGGGGCGCGGTGTTTCTGCCATACCTTTGCTCCATGGTGAGACATTGTCTTGTTGTGTGTTTCCCTTTTGGAGAATGAGTCAACAGATCCTGTCCGAGTCCTTAGCTGGCTCCGCCGAGACTTGGAGAAGAGCACGGCAGGGCTCCAAGATCTCCGGTTCAAGCCCGGTGAGTCCTCTCTGGGTGAGGAGCCAGCCAGCCCGGCGGACGTGCGCAAAGGTTTCTCCATCGATTACTACAGCACCACGGCCAAGGGCAGCCCGGGGCGGCTGCACTTCGAGATGACGCACAAGGAGAACCCGCAGTGCCCCGGCACCCCGCTGGGCAACTCAAGCTCTGTGGACGAGGTCTCCTTCTACGCCAACCGCCTCACCAACCTCGTCATCGCGATGGCGCGCAAGGAGATCAACGAGAAGATCGACGGCTCGGAGAACAAGTGCGTGCACCAGTCGCTCTACCTGGGCGACGAGCCCGCGCCCACCAAGAGCCTCAGCACCATCGCCTCGGAGCTGGTGGACGACACGGTCTTCGCGTGCTCCAAGACCGTGGCCCCCGACAAGGCCCCCGGCTCCGGAGACCGGGCCCTGGGGTCCTCGCGGAGCCCCCCGAACTTCAAATACAAGAGCACTTTGAAGATCAAGGAGAACAAAGGCCCCGATGACAAGCCCTCGTCCAAGAAGTCGTTCTTCTACAAGGAAGTGTTCGAGTCTCGGAACGCGGGCGATGCCCGCGAGGGGGGGCGGGCCTTGCCCGGAGACCGGAAGATCTTCTCGGGCCGCGACAGGCCCGACGACTTCACGGCCTCCGTCAGCCAGGGCATCATGACCTACGCCAACAGCGTGGTGTCAGACATGATGGTGTCGATCATGAAGACGCTGCGCATCCAGGTGAAGGACACGACGATCGCCACCATCCTGCTGAAGCAGGTGCTCATCAAGCACGCCAAGGAGGTGGTGTCGGACCTCATCGACTCGTTCATGAAGAACCTGCACAACGTCACCGGCACCCTCATGACCGACACCGACTTCATCTCGGCTGTGAAGCGGAGCCTCTTCTCCCAGGGCAGCCAGAAGGCCACCGACATCATGGACGCCATGATGGGCAAGCTGTACAACGTGATCTTCGCCAAGAAGTTCCCCGAGGGCGCGCGCAAGACCAAGGACAAGTGCGAGAGCTTCTCCATGGTGTCCATGAAGGGCCGGGGCGACCCGAAGGGGCGCAACATGAACTTCATGAAGTCCGAGGCCAAGATCCGCGAGAGGATGTACTCCACCTGCAAGCCAGAGAAGGAGAAGACGTGCATGGAGACGCTGGGCGAGCACATCATCAAGCAGGGACTCACCATGTGGCACAAGAACCATCAGAAGGACTCCAAGTCGCCCACCACCGACCCGGCGGCCGCCACCCACCCCGAGCCGGGCCTGGCCGCTGACCCGCCCTTCGACTCCCCGGACGTGTGCGACCTGAGCCCCCCGCTGCCCTACCCCGAGAGCATGGAGAACTTCATGTGCGACGCCGACTCGTGGGGCAAAGACCTGATCGTGTCGGCCCTGCTGCTCATCCAGTACCACCTGGCACAGGGGGGCAGGATGGACGCCCAGAGCTTCCTGGAAGCCGCCACCACCACCAACTTCCCCAACAGCGGGAGCCCCGACGAGAGCCGGCCCAACCCCCCGCCCCGGGTGTGCGACCAGGAGCAGGCCGAGAAGAAAGACCTCATGAGCGTCATCTTCAATTTCATCCGGAACCTTCTGGGCGAGACCATCTTCAAGGGGGACCGCGGCTGCGCCTCCAAGGTCCCAGAGCAGCCAGCGAGGGAGGAGTGCCAGTGCGAGCGACCCCTGACCCCGTGCCCCACCAGGCTCTGCGACAACGAGGAGGTGGACGGCACCCTCTCGGGACTCACCAAGATGGTGGCCAGCCAGCTGGACGGCCGCGCGCCCGGCCACATGCTGGACCATCTGGTCGACTCGGTGATGAAGTTGTGCCTCATCATCGCCAAGTCCTGCGACTCGCCCTTGGCCGAGCTGGGAGATGACAAATCGGGCGACGCCAGCCGACCCACCTCGGCCTTGCCCGACAGCCTGTACGAGTGCCTGCCGGCCCGGGGCACGGGCACGGCCGAGGCCCTGCTGCAGAACGCCTACCAGGCCATCCACAACGAGCTGCGGGGCGCCTACGGGCAGCTGCCCGAGGGCTGCGCCATCCCCAGGGTCATCGTGAGCAACCACAACCTCACGGACACCGTGCAGAACAAGCAGCTGCAGGCCGTGCTGCAGTGGGTGGCCGCCTCCGAGCTCAACGTCCCCATCCTCTACTTCGCCGGCGACGATGAAGGGATCCAGGAGAAGGTAAGGCCCCGGGAAGGGGGGCCCGGCTGCCGTCTTGGAAAGCCAAACCCTGGGGGTGTCCGCTCGGGAATGGCATTGGGAAGGGATCTGAAGCTCTCGCGAGACCAGATTCTGTGCCTCCGTAGTCACAGAGATGTAGTCCCGGGGGGGGCGGGGGGGGGGGGCTGCTAAGGGTTTGGTTGGTTGGTTTTCTGCTTGTGTTGGTGGGAGCAGCACGGGTGGGCAGCAGCGCGGGTGGGCAGCAGCGCGGGTGGGCAGCAGCGCGGGTGAGCAGCCTCCCGGGGAAGGAAGCGGGATCCTAAGGCGCCTTGTCTTTCGGATACCTGTGTGGGAAAGGACGGAGGACTGGAGAAGGAGACAGTGCTTCTGGAAAGCTCCCCAGGGTGGGGATGAGGAGGGAGAAGGTCTGGACTTTGCCAAGTTACGGAGCAGTAAAGCAGAAGCACAGAGCACAGAAGCCCAGGGCTGAGAGGAAGGTGACACCGAGTCCGGTTGACTTGGGAACATTGGAGCGCGGGCCTGCGGGCTTGTGGTGGGTCAGTGGGACAGCGTGCCCCCCCCAAGGGGGAAGATGACCTCACAGATGGAGAAAGGGGGCGCTTCCGTCTGCGTAGGTGAGCCTGTTCCCCTGAGTGGCTGAGGCGCCGGAAGACAGGATGGTAGCGCCCCGCCCACACGAGAAACCAGCGTCCGCGTGAGTCTTAGCAGGACTGCGCTTGCTCCCCCACGTGGTGTCGGGCACCGTGGCTGTTGGGAACTGACAGAGGTGCAGTAAGCTAGGGTGTCCACACAGCTTGCTCCACCCGCAGAGTGCTGAGGAAGGTTCTAGATGTGGGGGGTGGAGTCTCCATACCGATCTCTCCGTGGGGGCTGCACCCACCAGCCCGGTCTTGGTGGTCCTCTTCCCCGCACCCTCGCCAGCCTTCTCTGTGTGGGGATCTTAGTGTAGGTGGGGTTTGCATTTGCTGTCTGGCTAAAGATGTTGAACGTTTGCCGGGTCTTTGACTCGCGTCAGTTCATTTGCTCGTTTGTGAATTCGCTCCTCCGCTGCTGTTGTGGTCTTGAGAGCTCCTTGTGTGTGAATCCTTTCTCTGTTGAGTAGCGAGCAAAGATGTCCTCCTATCCTGTGGCTCCGTCCCTTGACTGGGAACTGCTCGATGGGCAGAAACTTTGTCACCTGAAGCCCCAGCCGCCAGCCCTGGCGCTCACTTCCTAGGGGAGGAGGCAGGGGCTTTTTGTGCTGCACGTGTGGTTGCTCCTGTGTGTCCTCCCTGAAGATCTTCCTCGGGGATCACTGGGGCGTCTGGGGCAGGGGCGTGGGGGGCTCCCCTCGCCTGCCCTTCCATGTGGAGCCCCGGCCCGGCCGCCGCCCCTCCAGCCCTGCTCTCTGCCTTCCACAGCTGCTCCAGCTCTCGGCCGCCGCTGTGGAGAAAGGCCGCAGCGTCGGGGAGGTCCTGCAGTCCGTGCTGCGCTACGAGAAGGAGCGGCAGCTGGACGAGGCAGTGGGGAACGTCACCCGGCTGCAGCTGCTGGACTGGCTGATGCTGAACCTGTGATCAGCGCCCGGCCGCGGCCCCGCCCCGTCCTCGCCACGCCCCACCCCCAGAGCCCTACCCACGCCTATCAGACGAGTCATCTAATGCTAGCCACTGGATTTTGCAGATTTTCCTGTCCATGCGAGCAAGGACGAAAAATTAAAAGATTACAATTAAAGGGCCCCGAGAGCCTGGTTTCCTTGGGGGTGCAGGGGTGGAGAGAGGAGAGAGTCGGACAGGTGCCCCTGAAGCCGCACCCAGGACCTGCTTCCGCCCTCGGGGCCAGGGAGCCAAGACAGCCAGCCACAGGGCAGGCCCGCTGGCGGACCCCTGGCCACAGCCGTGCTCCCAGCAGCCCCTGTATGCAGCTTCCATCCCCGTCCTCGGGTGTCTAGTCCCACTCGTGCTTGACCCTTTTTCTTTCTGGAAACTTCCTCACTTGGCTTCTAATTGTTCTCCCACCTCGCGTACTCACTGTGGACACGCTCCCCCTTCCCCCAACTCATCCAAACCCATGCCTTTGGTTTCCTGCTCGTCACCTTTTGTGGTGTCACCTGGGTGTTTTCTCCATGTTGTGTGTGGCCAGTTTCACGGGTCTAAACACAGTGATGTGTGTGTGCAGTTGAGAGCTAGCACGTGGACAGGGTTGGATCTGAGAGTTGTGGTTTGTCTTTGGCATTGCTGGGGAGGGATGTCTCTGGAAAACTGAGCTCCACCCTCTCCCATCCTATGCTCCACTGTGAAGCCCTCCCTCCATCCCAGGCCTCTGGCCACGTCGGGCAGTGCACGTTTCAGTGCTGTCCTGACACGGCTGCAAGACAACTGTGTATCTCGGCTGGAGGTTTTCATGGCCTTGACTTAAGGGCCCAGTCTGTCATCAGAATTGGAGCTAACCAAAGAAGAGGAGGAGGACAGGAAGACAAAGCCAAACGCCACAGATAAGAGGGAATCTGAGTCCCTTGACAGTATGAGGGCGTCACGATCCTCTCCAAACAAGAGCAGTCACGGCAAGAAAAAAATAAGATGCTTTTATTTAGAATTCCTACAACAGTATATATTTCAAACTACCTCCTATACACACACACGTGTGCGCGCACACAGTACGTCCGTGCACACACAGTTCAGATCCGTGGACGTCTACCCCCATCCCACATTAGCTGGCCATTTTTCTTTTTGTAAATAAACCTTTATGTGTTAAAAACAACAACAATGTGAAATATTGTACACTACAAGCGCTGCCTCTAATCCAGTCACTGGTGGAAAGGAACACTGTCACCCGGGGCCAGGGTCATACAAGAGGCGGTAAAAGATTTGTGTTCGGGGGGGAGGACGTTTTGCCCGGTTCTTCTGTGGAGGTGATGGAAATCTCAGGCCCAGTCACAGCCTCTGGCTTTCCAGAAGCTTCGGTCAGATGCGGTAGCTGGACCTTGTCGGCTGGGTGCTGGACAGCGCCCTGCTGGTCACCGGAACTCTGGGCTAGTTTGGTGCCATCCTTGAACTTGTCTGGGACCTCCTTGATGATCTCACCTGCTGGAGGAGGGCAGAGAGAGGTGCGTGTGGTTACCTCTGGACAGCCAGGCTTGCAGGCTCACGCCTGGCATCCCAGCCACTTAGGAGGCTGAGATTGGAGGATCGCGGCTCAAAGCCAGCCTGGGCAGGAAAGTCTGTGAGACTCTTAACCTCCAACGAGCCTGCCAAAAACTAGGAGTGGAGCAGTGGTTCAAATGGGAGAGTGCTAGTCTGGAGCAAAAGAGCTCAGGGATAGCACCTAAGCCCTGAATTCAAAACCCAATGCTAGCACACACACACACACACACACATACACACACAATAAAGGACTAGTAATGATAGAAAAATAGTTCACTGGTAACACTGTATGCCACGGACATCGTCCTGATCACTATTGACAAATCATTTTAATATAGGAGAAAAATAATCAGAAGCCGAGCACCAGTGGCTCCTGCCTGTATCCCAGCTACTCAGGAGGCTGAGATCTGAGGATCACGGTTCAAAGCCAGCCCAGGCAGGAACATCCGTGAGACTAAACCACCAAGACAACTGGAAGTGGTGCTGTGGCTCAAGTGGTAGAGTGCTAGCTTTGAGCTGAAGAGCTATGGGACAGCGCCCAGGCCCTGAGTTCAAGTCCCATAACTGACAGAAAAAAAATCTTATCAGACAAGAGGCAAAAAGGAGGACTCCAGGTAACCCGGGTTTCTTGAGGAAGGGAACAGCCCAGCAGGCGGAGCTGGGGTGAGGCTGGAGGGGATCACGGGCCAAGGTGGGGCTGGGAGGAGTGGGCGCACGTAGTGCGCTGGACTGCTGTACCTTTTCTGCTTCTGCCCAAGTGGTCGGTCGCCCGGTGGTTGCCCGTGTCGGGAGGAGAGAAGAGCCCCGGTTTCCTCAGGTTCTGGAGCCTGGGCTGCAGCTTCAGCTTCCGGGGCTCGTGGATCCAGGCGTGCTTGAGGGCCTGGTCTGGGGTCATGCGGAGGGAGGGTTCCCATCTGCACAGGACAGCGGGGGGGGGGGGGGGGGGGGGGAATGTCACTACCGGACACTTCATCCCCCATCACCACAGTTTTCATTAGACTATGTCTTCTTGGAACATGTGATTTATGAGGACTTGGAAACCATCTGTTCAGAAAAGGTGCATAATGAACCGGGGAGCATATTACGTTCCTAGTTCGCAGCCAGGCATTGGAGAGCCGAGCAGCACCGGTGGAAGGAAAGTCCGTGAGACTCATCTCCAGTTACCCACCAGAAAAGCCAGGAGTGCAGCTGTGGCCCAAGTGGTAGAGCGCTAGCCTTGAGCCAAAGAAAACTCAAGAGATAAGCACCCAGGCCCTGAGTTCAAGCCCCAGGACCAGCACAAAAAGAATTCCATGTTTCCTAGAATTTCTAAAAATTCTAGAAGTATTTGAAGAAACAGAGCTCTCTCTCCCAAGTGGTAGAGCACACCCAGGCCCCGAGTTTTACCTCATGCCCCATGACTGACAAATGAATTTCAGGATTTGGATCAAAGCAAAGAGATGCTTTCAAGTCCCCAAACTGAAATTTAGACCTCCAACTATATCACAAAGAATACTGGAGAGTTCTAGAATATGAAAGATTTACTTACTGTTAGTTGAGCGCTGGTGGCTCACACCGGTAATCCTAGCTACTCAGGAGGTTGAGATCTAGAGGATCATGGTTCAAAGCTAGCCTGGCCAGAAATTCTCTTAGACTCCCATCTCTAAGATAACCAGCACAAAAGCTGGGCTGGAGGCATGGTACCAGTGGCAAAACACCAACCTAGCTAATGCCAGGTCCTGAGTTCAAACCCTCAATACTACGCCCAGAAAATAACTCGCACAAGAGAACTGGAAGCTAACTCAAGCAGACTGGTGCCGTTTTGGGTATGACCCAATTACCTTGCCATTCTCAATACCAGTCAGTCACATAACACTGGTAAATCTGCTTATGCAGGAGATGGAGCCGAGGGGACCAGAGCCTGGGACTTTTGCCAGGAACCTGAACACAGTTCCCAATCCTGCCTGATGGCCCCCCTTCACAGCACAGCCTGCCACCTGCCGAAAACCTCCCCATCACCGCCTTCAGACCAGCTTCCATCATAGGAACTCCAGCTGGAGGGCGAAAGGAGCGTTCTAGACTACTCAGCCTTCTGATTCTTCATCAAATGCCTGTAAACTGTTTCCCCTCTTCCGATCTGGACACCCTCGCCTGGCAGCCTGTTGGCGTGGCTCCAAGCTCAATCCCTCCCAGGAGTACTTAGCACTAGGACCGGGTGCAGTAAGAGGCCCTGTCATCTTGTAATGCATTCATCTTTCCAACTTGAAAAGAAAGTACCTTTAGTGGTGCTAGGCTGGGTGTCTGGAATTTTCTGTCTGTTTCTTTTTTTCTTTTTAAGTACCTGTCCTGGGGCTTGGGCTCAGTCCTGGAGACTCCCTGAGCTTTTGCAGCCCAAGGTTAGCTAGTGCTCTACCACCTGAGCCACGGCTGTACTTCTGTTTCTGTCTGTAGGGTACATTCATACCCCAGCATCAACCACAGGTCGAGATGGGGACCACGGGTGAAATGAGGGTGTAAGATCCTTCTCCACCATCATCATCCAGCTAGGAGTGTAGCATGACTCACCCTCCATCTCAGGGTACTTCTAGAAACACCCCGACATTTCCCCCTCTGAGATAGTGCCAGGATTCCAAAGTGTGTCAACACCCCCAGGAGAGAATATGGAGATAGAGGCTCCTTAAAATGCTGGTGTTCGGGGCTGGCAGGGCAGAGGAGGCTCTCATTTTATAGAAAAGGAAACTGAGGCCTGGACTTGGCTAAGGCTACATAGCTAAATCTACCTGCACTCCTTGAAGAGGCGCCTGTAAAATTCCTCACACAGTAGCACTGGGCAGGATTTCCCATACACCGTGCCTCGACCAAAATACGCAGCCTAAGTTTCTGACATTGAAAATGCGCTTAGAGCTGCTAAACGGGTGCTGTAAGCGGCCAGAGCCCCGTTCCCATTGCACGTGGTAGCATCGGCCAAAGCATCGGCCAGACTGGGCAAAACAGAGCAGGTATCACACAGAGCCTTGAACTCTGGGCCTGAGCACCATCTCCGCTTTTATACTCAAGACTGGTGCTCTACCGCTTGATCCACAGCTCCACTTCTGGCTTTTGTTTGTTTGTTTGAGGGGCAGGTAGGAACTTACTAGAGATGAGTCTCGTGGACTTTCCTGCCTGGGCTGGCTTTGAACCATGCTCCTCAGGTCTCAGTCTTGTGAGTAGCTGGGATGACAGGCGTGAGCCACCAGTGCCCGCCCGGTTGCTATTTTTCAACTGTCTGTCTCCCCACCCAGCCTCTTGAGGAAAGCCTCCACTGGAAAGCAAAGTGGAGGCAGACAACCACCCCAGTGGACTCACACCAGACATCTCTTGACAAAGTCCAGGAAACTGGAGTCGCAGGTTTTCAGCACCATGGTCAGGTCCTTGGAATCCGGGTACCTTTTTTTCCCCCTGTTGTTGGTTATATTTTTAGGAAAACCTTTGGAATCTTTAGAGATACAACATTCTGTATTTAGTTCCGGGTGGAAGTCGCCATGGATCACCTCCCAGCTGTCCCTCCCCTCTGCTGCTTCCTACAAGTGTGTGTGTGTGGGGGGGGGGGGGGGGGTGTCTGCAGCCCTCTTACCTCTTCCTTCCCCACCCCCAGCTCAGCTCATTAATGTGGGGGCTGGGGGGGAAGCAACTTATTCTGCCCTTGGTAGTGTTTGAGCGTTCTTTCTAGGTCAGATGGTTTAAATCAAACGGCACTGGCTGCATGATGCCGGGGCTCACGCCTGTCATCCCAGCCACTCAAGAGAGACAGATCTGAGGATCGCAGTTGGAAGCCAGCCCAGGCAGGAAAGGAAGTGGATCTGGGGCCCCAATAATGGCTCATGTGCACACTAAATTTGTAGTGGCAATGGAGAGCTGTAGACAACGTGGCTGCCATTCCACCAGGTAAGATGAAAAGCCACTGTGGCTCCCGCCTGTCATCCCAGCGACTCAGGAGGCTGAGAGCTGAGGATTACAGTGGAAAAGCAGCTCAGGAAGGAAAGTCCCTGAGATTCTTACCAGTCCTGGGGCTTGAGCTCAGAGCCTACGTTTATTATCCTTAGCTTTTTTGCTCATGGCTAGCACTCTACCCCTTGAGCCACAGCTGCATTGGGGGTGGGGGGAGTTGATGGTTAATTGGAGACAACTGAAGTCTTGGAGGATTCTCCTGCTTGGATTTGGCCTCCTGAGTAGCTGGGATTACAGGAGTGAGCCACCAGGGCCTGGTAACTCCACTACTCTTGCCAAGAGGCCCATGGTGTGGAGGCCTTTGGTGCCTCTCGAAACCCAACGGGACGATGCAAGCTGCAGCTAGGGACTTACCAAAGAACGTCTGTCTCCTGGAAGCCGTCTGCACAAAGTGGGGGGGCGGCAGGCCAAGCACCTTAAACAAGCAGAGCGGGGTTGGTCTCTGTGGGGTGCCGGGGTCAAAGGCTGTTAAGGGCCAGGTGGGCGTGCTGGCCAAACTCTGCCTTTCACGTCCCAGGACCGTGGGGTTTCTAAGCGGCAGATCAGAGCCAGAGCCTCGTCCAGGACCGTGGGGTTTCTAAGCAGCAGATCAGAGCCAGAGCCTCGTCCGAGAGCTCTGCGCATCCCACGCTCACTGCTGGCCTCGCTGGTCTCTCGCCAGTCAGCCGTGCCAGCGAGACACACGTCACCCTCAGTGCCAGCAGGATCCCGTCCCCGGGCACACCCCACATGTGTAGAATGACACAGGCTGGCGGCTCACACCTCTAGTCCTAGCTACCTACTCAGGAGGCTGAGACCTAGGGGTCGTGGTTCACAGTCCGTGAGACTCTTCTTGCCAGTAAACCACCAAAAAGCCCCAAGTGGAGCTGTGGCTCAAGTGGTAGAGCACCCACTGTGGGCAAAAAAGCTAAAAAAACAGTGTCCAAAAAGCCCTGAGCTCAAGTCCTAGTATCAGTGCATGCACACGTGTGTGCATGTCCGCTCACACACACAAGAAGAGAAGAGATGCAGAGGAGATGGAAAGCAGTAGGAAAGAAAGGTGTAAGCACCTGCTTGCTACCACGTTTAGGTGCCCACAGGCGGCCGGCCCTGAGGCTTGTGTGTTCTAGGCTCATCCATGCTGACCCAGCCCTCATCCTCATCTTTGTGGAAGTCACCAGAAGCCGAGTCAGCGTGGAGTCAAGAACTCCAACCCACGCCCACTTTCCTTCCTGTTGCAAGCAGGAATTCAGGGATGGTTCGTGAAATCACCTCGAAAACCACATTCTCTGCCAGGCTCACCAGCATGCAGATCCTCCAACTGCTAACTCCAAGGCCAGCGTTCACTCTCCTATAGCTTACACCTTTTTTCTTTTGCTCTGGGCTGGTGCTCCACCACTTGAGCCACAGCTCCACTAACATTTTTCTGGTGGCTCATTGGAGATACCTCATAGACCTTCCTGCCCAGGCTGGCTTTGAACTGCTCTCCTCAGATCTCAGCCTCCTGAGTAGCCGGGGTGACAGGCGGGAGCCACTGGCACCCAGCTAAATTTCTGATTTTTTTAACCTATTTTTATTTAGTTTTCTGGGGGGAAAAAAGAACATAGTAAGAGAAGGGTACAACAAGGAGACCTGCTCACCTCCCTTTAAAGTGGATACAGGTGTCTACTGATAGGTTAATTTTCACATGTCACTACATATGAGAGGACCCATCCTCTACAGCTATTTAAGTCTGTGATTTAAAAAAAAAAAGATCTCTCAAGCCGACAATGTACAAGGTGTGGAGCGGGACACCATTGGAAAGGAAAAAAATACTTGAAGTAAAGGAAAAAAACCAGCATGCATGCACGGGTGGCGCGAGCGGGCATGGGCGGCGCGAGCGGGCAGCGCGAGCGGGCAGCGCCTTTGTGAGGGGCGAAGCCGTCCCGGGTCGTCGGCCATCCCGCAGGGTGGCCAGGGGTCCTCCTCACCTCCATGATGCAGGCCAGCTGCTCCGTCTCGTTCTCCCCCGGGAACAGCGGGTAGCCCGTGTACAGCTCGGCCATGATGCAACCCAGGCTCCACATGTCAATGGCCGTGTTGTAGGGGTGACCCAGGATCACCTCGGGGGACCGGTAGAAACGGCTTTGGATGTAGGTGTACACTGTGGCGGGAAGAGGGAAGGGGGATGGAGAGATTGAGCAAGATGAAGTGAGGGTGATCCCTTCCTTTCTAGAACATTCTCTCCAGGAGACCTTGGCGGATGACTTAGACCTTTCTCCCAACACTTTGGGAGGAGGGACGGGCCTCCACCCACACTTCTGGGTCATGCGACATTCTCATACTGTCTTCCCATTATTAAGCAGTACTGTCGCCAATGCATTGCTAAGGCACTCCAACGGGTAGGCCTCGTTCTTTAGAAGTAAGTTCCCACAAGCCAAGTTAAAAAGCAGAACAAGGCAGGGCACCGGTGGCTCCCGCCTGTCATCCCAGCTACTCAGGAGGCTGAGATCTGAGGATCGTGGTTCAAAGCCAGCCCAGCCCAGGCAGGAAAGTCCATGAGACTCTGATCTCCAATGAACCACCAGAAAACCAGAAGTGGCGTTGTGGCTCAAGTGGTAGCGCACTAGCTTTGAGCTGAAGAGCTCAGGGACAGTGCCCAGGCCCAGAGTTCAAACCCCACGACCAACCAAAAAAAAAAAAAAAAGAGTGAAGCAATAAGACTAACACAAGTTTGTAGACTCAGATGAACCTGGAGCAAATTGACTGAGAGCGCATTGGCATTTGACCTGGAAGCAAGATTCCCAGCTTGTAAAGGAAAACAGGCAAATGCGTGGTTTAAGTTCATGGCTGTGGTGCCTTGCAGGAAGCTAGACAGAAGGATCACGCCAGGACTACACACAATAGCAACATCTCAACTCCCCCTTGAGTCTTCATCTTCATTTATTTCTATGTCTGGATGGATGGATGGACTTGAACTCAGTCTGGAGCTCTTGCTTAGCTTTTTTCCAATCAAGGCTGGCACTCTACCCCTTGAACCACACCTCCACCTTCCAGCTTGTTGCTGGTTAATGATCCGCCTAAGCTGGTTTTGAACCTTGTTCCTCAGGTCTCAGTTTCTTGAGTAAGCTAGGTTTACAGACGTAGTAGGCCACCAGCGCCTGGCCGTGATTTGAATTTAATGTCTATATTCAGCATAATGTGTCTATGTGTTGTGTACCTATCCCCCCCCCCCCACCCCCCACACACAATGTGTCTGGGACAACAGTCAGTTTCCCACTATTGAGATGGAGGTCTGACACATCTGCTTGGCTTGGGGACCTGCTCACGGATAATTCCAAATCCACCCCCGATGAGAGCTTCAAAGGCCCCTTAGGATACTTGAATCCAACTTTGCTTTATAGATGAGGAAACTCAGACCCAAGGAAGCAGAGCTCCCTGTTCATGATCACCGGGGGTGGACATGGTGGTGGCCGAGGCTAGGCTGGCAGCCACGTCAACTGCCACGTGGGCAGAGCTTCAACAGAGTGGCGTGAGGCCCACCTTTCTGGTGTTCATAACAGCTTGATCCAAAGTCAATCACTTTGACAGAGACCTGACCCTTCTGATACAGCACTATATTTTCCTAAAGAGAAGAAAGGACTTGTTTATTAAAAATTAATATTTCCCCGGCACTCTACTTCCCTAGATGGTCACCACCCCACGGGGCCCTTTTCTGATATGGCAGTTTCCAGGCCCTCCTCCCACCTACCATTGTCCTCCTCCAATTCTGGCTTCTTATCGAGGGCCACGGTGTCTGGGGGAACTAGCTCCCCACACCTTGTCCCTAGGCTGCCTCTCCGTCTTACGCCCACCATTTGCAGCCATTAACTCCTTTTGGAGCATTTCCTCATGGCCTTCCATTGCGCCCACCATCTCATGATGGAAAGATGATCCCTCAGGAGAGGCCGGCAAAGGGGCAGGTCCTACGGAAAGCACTTGGGGCCACCTAAAGCTTATTTATACAGTGCTAACAAGACAACATGGAAGGCTGCACCCGCTGGGGTGGAGAGGGAAGTCTGAGGTGTGCTGTACCCCTGAGGAGCAACTCTAGACGTTTACAGTGGATCTCAAGTGTGTGTGTGTGTGTGTGTGTGTGTGTGTGCAGAAGGATCTAGAAAACAGCAGGTCCCAGGGAGGACTCAGGGCTACAAGTAACAAGTGATCCACAGGACAAAAATGCTTTAGCCTGAGTTTATTCTGGGTTTACCCAGAATTCCCAGCGCTTCTCCCTACGTCCACCATCTGGATGTGTCAGCCCAGCCACCACGGCCCTTCCTGTCCCTAGCTGCTTCAAGTACATCATAGTCTTCCTCTGGCTCCCCGATATTTTGTCCTAGTCTCCGCTGTACCTCACTTCCCAGCCCACTCCGCCTTGCAAAGGCCGGGTCATGGGTGCTGGCCCGGTGGCTGCGGGGAGCCGTACTCACGGGCTTGAGATCACAGTGGATGATCTTCTCTACGTAGAGCATCTGCAAACACTTGAGAACCGAGAGGGTGAAGCGGCGCACTATGGACAGACTGAAGCCTTGGAAGCTGTTGTTCTTCATCAACTCGTACAAGTTGATTCTGGGAAGAAGAGAGTCACGTATGCCAATGACAACCCAGCACGCGCCGGGTGCCGTGGCTCACGCCTGTCATCCCAGCCACCCAGCAGGCTGAGATCCGAGGGTCGCAGTTCAATGCCAGTCCAGGCAGGACAGTCCGTGAGCCTCTTTATCTCCCATGAACCAGCAAAAAGCTGGAAGTGGAACTGTGGTTCAGGTTGGAGCCTTGGACTTTAAGAAAGCTCAGGGACAGAGCCCAGGGCCTGAGTGCAAGCCCCAGGACAGACAAAAATAAAACACAGCATGCTCAGGTTGAGCCTGCGCATTCTCCTGGGCCTGCCAGACCCCCTCAGCCTCACACCTGAAGGCAGGATGTGCACAGCCTGAATCAGGTCCCAGGGACTCGTGGTAGACACAGAGTCCTTTCGTGTGTGTGAATGCGCACACAGGTGCCAGTCCTGGGGCTTGAACTCAGGGCCTCGGCGCTGCCCCTGAGGCTTTTGTACTCCAGGAGCCACTTCTGGCTTTTTGCTGGTTCCCTGGAGGGAAGTATCTCGTGGACTTTCCTACCCGGCCTGGCTTTGAACCGCAATCCTCAGACCTTGGCCTCCTGAGTAGCTGGGATGACGGGTTTGAGCCACCAACGTTTTCTTCTGCTCTGATTTCAGTTGGATCACATGGCACTCAGAGTAGAGTAAGTAAATAAGCTTGGCCTTCCAGTTGAAGACCTTTTTGGATCCGAGCACGTTTTTGGCCTGAGCGCTGTCCCTGAGCTCTTTCACTCAAGGCTGGCGCTCTACCACTTTGAGCCACAGCGCCACTTCCGGGTTTCTGGTGGTTCACTGGAGAGAAGTGCCCTGCCTGAGCCGGCTGTGAAGCGCGCTCTCAGCTCCTGGCTCCTGAGTGAGCTAGGATGACAGGGGTGAGCCACCGCCTCCAGCTCTCTGTGTTAACTCAGATCCCACAGTCCCATTCAGGACATAAACCAATCTAAGCGTCTGGACCTCCCCCCTTTCTCTTAAGGGAAAGTTCTCTAAAGGACGTGAAGGGGACGGGAAAAAGGCCGCTGACCCCAGGAGTTCGAAGGTGATGCAGAGGTGGTTGCGGAAGTAGAAGAACTCCTTCATGTGGACCACGTTGTGACTGTTGTCTTTGTCCTTTCTGCGGAGGGCTTCTAAGATCTTCAGCTCCACCAGGGCCTGGTGATGGAACCTGCGGCGATGGGGGTGCGGCCGGGAGAACAGAAAACACGGGAGTCAGGGCCGCGCCGCCGCAGCCCAAGCCCAGGCCGAAGCCGGCCTCCCATCTCCTCGCCCCTCCCATAATCCCAGCCGGCATGTCGTGCGTCAACCCTGAACTCCGCTCTCTGGTGTTCTGCATGGACTCCGACAGGTCAAGGCGGAGCAGACACCAGGAGGAGGAGGAGGCAGGAAGACCTGGCGGCCCCCCTCCCATCACCCACACCTCTTCTTGTTCCTGATGATCTTCAGGGCCACGAACTCGTTGTTTTTGTGATCCAGGCACTTGGCCACCTGCCCGAAGGACCCTTTCCCGATCATCTCCAGAACCTCGTAGCGATAGGCAATGTGGTCGTGTAGGACCTGCGGGGAGGGGTGGGGAGGGGAGGGGAGTCCCAGTGAGGCGTGGAGCCACAGGCCTGTAGACCCCAGACCCCGACTCCCAGTGCCGGGCAGAAACCCTCCCCTTCCCCAGGTGCCACTCCTGAAATGCTTCACTGGGTGCCAGACCCCAGGCCACCCATGTGGTGTCAGGGGACGTCTCCCGGGCCCAGCCCTCATCCACTAGTGCATCTCTGACCCTCCATGAGCCTCCATCGGTCGGAGGAGGTTTTATGTCTGCTCTGCTTCTTTCTGGCCAGATTTATCCCTTCCCTAACATCTAGAATTTGGACTTTTCTGGGCTACGAAAAGAAATCATTTCCCCAAAGATGGAATCATCCCTATTTCTCTCTGCTGGATAGTAACTGGGGAATGGGTGTTCTGGTGTGGTAGTGCATGGGGATTGATGGGACTCAGCTTTTTTTTTGGTCAGTTGTGGGGCTTGAACTCTGGGCTTGAGCACTGTCCTTGTGCTCTTCAGCTCAAGGCACGTACTCTACCGCTTGAGCCACAGCGCCACTTCGGGTTTTCTAGTGAATTATCGGAGATAAGAGTCTCACCGACTTTCCTGCCCGGGCTGGCTTCGGACCGCGATCCTCAGATCTCAGCCTCCTGAGTAGCTGGGATGACAGGCTTGAGCCACCGGCACCCAGCTGATGTGTTCCCATTCTTTAAATGCTATTTCTCTCAGGATCTTCTAGATTCCTTCGGGGCACCTGCGTCTCAATATTTCAGCATGAACTACTGTTAAACACCCCTCTCCCTTCTGTATCTCCCCCGCTTCTCCATGCTATCTCTTGTCCCTAAGTCTTAACAGGTTCCCCAGGACCCAACCCCAGACCCTCAGCAAGCACCTTCATATAGGAGCCGTGTTCATCGTCGAAACTGGATGCGCCAAAATTCTCCGATGGCACATTCAGCTTCTTCGCTTCCAGGCCCAGGAACCACAGCTCTGTGTAACCCAGGATTTCACTTTGCTCATAAGCAGAGAGCTGGTTCTTGAAAAACTTGAGAGCCTCTGGGAAGAGAAATGGGTCAGGGACAACGTGGGGATGTGTCCAGAGACAGAAGCAGCACTGAGCCGGGCGCCGGTGGCTCCCGCCTGTCATGCTGGCTACTCAGGAGGCTGAGATCGGAGGATCACAGTTCAAGGCCAGCCCCAAGACATTCTTTTTTCTTTTTTTGGTGGGTGGGGGATTGTGGGGCTTGAACTCGGGGCCTGGGCGCTGTCCCTCAGCTCTTCAGCTCAAGGCGGGCGCTCTACAACTTGAGCCACAGCCCACTTCCAGTTTCTGGTGGTTCATGGGAGATAAAAGTCTTATGGACTTTCCTGCCTGGGCTGGCTTTGAACTATGATCCTCAGATCTCAGCCTCCTGAGTAGCTAGGATGACAGGCGTGAGCCACCACTGCCCAGCCCACGACATTCTTATCTCCAATTAAGTATGAAAAGCTGGAAGTGGAGCTGTGGCTCAAGTGGTAGAATGCCAGCTTTGAACACAACAAAGCCCAAGAGTTCAAGCCCCAGGACTGATGGGCGCTCTCTCTCTCCTCTCTCTCTCTTTCTCTCTCTCTCTCAAACACACACACACACACACACACACACACACATTACTGAAGTAGAGGATCCCATAATTTTACCAGGTGATGACATAAGACTAAATTTCAAGGTCTTGTACTTATTTCAGTAAGTCCAGGGAAGGATACACAGACGGAGGGAAAGGGGGAGAATTTGGTGCCCAGAGATCTGCAGGGTTGCTGGCACTTAGGTGAACATCCCAGGCATAAAACTCCAACAATGGCAGCATGGCCCAGGTGTCCAGGCAACACAAGTAGTCAACCTCAGACATGACTGTTTCCAGTGGCTGGGCGGGGAGAAGTCCCACTGCTCCCCTCAAATCTGCAGAGGCCAGCCAGTACCATGGAGCGCAGCAGAGGAGAGGAGCAGGACGGATCTGCTGTTACAGCACGGAGGTGGGGAGGGCCACAAAGTACTGGGGATTGAACTGGGGGCTCTGCTCCACCCGCAGAGCATTACAGAGGCATTGCCTTGGAGTACTTCCGGGGCACGGCCGTTTCTGACCGGAAGTGCACCCCGGGCCAGGGATCCCTAGCTGGCTGTGCCCTTGGCTGGACCATTCCATCTCGGCAGACACAAAGCCCGGCCCAGCCCGCTCCCCCCCCCCCCCCCCCCGTGGCCAGCAGCGCCCTCGTGCCAGCCCAGCCTACCTGAGGCTGTCAGCGGGACCTTGTGCTTCCTGGGAGATTTCTCTTCTGGCTTGGGATCTGGTTTTTTAGTGCCAGAGTGGAAAAGTAGTTCTGCAGCCTTGAGCTCGGAGCTCAGCACCCGACTGTGAATTCGATTGTCCTGTCCAGAGAAGAAAGGGAGAGGGAGAGGGAAAGAGGGAGGGAGGGAGGAAGGGAGGGGGGAGGTTTGCAAATGAAGGATCGCTTTCATCTCTTCCTGGAGTTGGAGAACGTTTCCTACTTCCCCAGGGAGGAAAAGGGCTGAGAGTTAAGAACTGGTTTTTCTTTCCGGAAAGAAGAATCTGTGAGCCTGTCCCATCCTGCCCTGGGAGACCCCACAGGTATTACAGGGTCCCGCCCAGATGGCAGACCTGCGGTAAGAGATGGGGAGCCTTTTTAGTGCTCTTCTTAGAGCAGGCCGACCGGGATGTCCACGAACTTGAACTTCTGTGCACATAGCAGCATTTTAGCCAGTTACCTTCCCTCCTAGCGCCCCAGTGGCTGGTCCTTTGTACAGGGAAACGGATTTCTAGCATTTATAGGGAAGGTCTTTGTGTCGTTACTCATTTGATGGAGAGACAGTCAGTGGTACCTTTGCTCATGTTTGGGGGTTTCTTTTTTAGGGGGGGGTGGTTTTGAACTCAGGGCCTTGGGCTCGCTAGGCCAGTGTTCTACCCTTGAGCCATGCCTCCAACTCCATGCTCTTGCCCTTCTTGTTTTCTGAACGGGCTTCCGTTAATGGCCCGGGGAGGGGGTGTCATGGGTAGCCTTTCCACACAGGTTTATGATTTATTTCCAGGTCATCGCACCTCTTCTAGCACTCTTGTTCCCTTCCTCCCTGCTTCGCGAAACAATTTCAACAGCTTTGCTTGCTCCATTTTCATCACTGCAAGTAATCGATGTCAACAGGTTCAGCCTCTCGTCTGCCTCGCCGGCACTCGCCGCCGCTCCATTTCCCTCCCCGCTGCCATCATCATCCTGCTGCTGGCGCTATTAGACACTTGCGGGGTACTACGCAATGGTTCACCCCTTATTTCTCCTTTTACCTTCCCTCTTCCCCTTCTCGGAAGTAGTCCCCGAGTTAAAATTATCCAGATAAATATGGATCTATGGCTATATATATATATGAACATACATATAATTACACACGTGAACATATATGGACAGTATCATACAGAGTTTTTCGTATGGATATATATAGTTATACACGTAGACTTGCATGTATATAATTATGGATATGGATATACCTCTCTTTCCACTGTTCTGTCTCCGAGTTTTCATGCATTACAGGCAGTGACATCAGGACTGGAACCTATTAGCTGATGGGTTCTAGTGTCCCTTCCCCCCCCCCCCCTCCAGTGGCATGATGTGGGTCTTTCTAGATCTAGTTCTGGACTAGACTCGGGCCTTGCACGGGGGTGTCCAGGGGCGCGCCCCTCCCCCACCCACCCTGCACTCACCTTGTACAGCACGGGTGGCTTTGGGAGGATTTTACTACTGATGCATGGCAAGTTAACTGTGTTTTTCTTCCCTGTAGTGTCCGCGAAAGGGAACGAGGAAACACTGGAGTTTGTATTCTACAAAAGGAGAAATGGTGGGTGGTGCGGAAACCGAAGGCAGGGAAAAATTAAAATACATATACACACACACATATACCTATACCTCTCTCCTGAAACCAGCTTCCTACCCCGCTCCTCTCCCTCTTCCCCCTCCTCCTCCTCCTCTTCCTCCTCCTCCTCCTCCTCCTCCTCACCACTAGAATGGATCTAACCCAGATTCTTTGAGGAGATTTAATTTTTTTTTTTAAAAGCACAGCTGATCGTGGGAGCAGAGCGGAGTGACCCGGCAGATGAGCGCCGGGCAGGTCTGGACCCTCACTGCACGCTCTGGAGCTGGGCACATTGAATGGAGCCCCCCCCAATTGTGTTCTCACGGCTGTCACGGTGACCCGAATGGGCGGGCCTACCTCATCGGACTTTGTGAGGCGGGGGGGGGGGGGGGGGGATGCATTCCATTAAGTGCTAGCCTTTATCATTTCTTCTCCACCAGACGTGGGGGGGGGGGGGGGGGAAACCTTCCGGTTATGGGCGTAGCTCTTGGTACCTCATTCAACTCCCGTGGTGTCTATGGTTGTTGACAGGCTTGCCTGGGTGGAGGTGGGGGGGAGCGTGACTGGGGCGGGTGGGGCGGGAGGGGGAGGGGGTGTGGACAGAGTATTTGCTTTGCCACGTGGAGTGTTGGAGACTAGCCCATCGTCCACCACCCGCGTGGAGTGTTGGAGACTAGCCCATCGTCCACCCACCCGCCTCCCGCCCTCCCCCGGAGTGCATCCTACCTTCTGCAAAAATCGGGTCATTCTGAGATGCTTAGTCTTGGGAAGTGGCTTCTGGGCTTGAACCAAAGGTTTATTCTCAACCTGATTGAGGCAGAAGAGGATGGTAACGACCCCTGGTGTGGCTTCGGCCCAGGCCAGCTGGACACTTTTGTTTTTTTTCATTAGAGTTATTGTTTTATTTTTATTTTTTGGGGGGGGTCCGGTCGTGGGGCCTGAACTCTGGGCCTGGGTGCTGTCCCTCAGCTCTTCAGCTCAAGGCGAGCGCTCTACCACTTGAGCCACAGCGCCACTTCTGGCTTTTTTCTTTTTGCTTATGTGGTGCTGAGGAATTGAACCCAGGGCCTCAGGCATGCAAGGCAAGCGCTCTACCACTGAGCCACCTGCCCAGCCCAGTATAGTTACTGTTTTAAAGCAGAGCTGGGTGCTGGTGGCTCACACTTATCATCCTAGCTACTCAGGAAGCTGAGGTTTGAAGCCAGCCTGGGCAGGAAAGTGCATCAGACTTTTTTTTTTTTTTTTGCCAGTCCCGGGCCTTGAACTCAGGGCCTAGGCGCTCGTCCCTGAGCTGCTTTTGCTCTAGGCAAGTACTCTATTACGTGAGCCACAGCACCACTTGCAGCTTTTTCTGTGGATGAGGGACTGAGGCTTCATGCATGCTAGGCAAGTGCTTTCCCAACCCAGGTGCATGAGATTCTTATTGCCAATTAAACCACAAAAAGCCCAAAGTGGCGCTGTGGCTCAAGTGGTAGAGCACCAGCCTTGAGTAAAACAGCTCAAGGACAGTGCCCAGTCCCCCAGTGAAAGCCCCAGGACGGGTGCAGAAGAAAGCAGAAAGAAAAAGATAGACTTCCGGAAGCCAACTCTTCTGGCCCCAAAGCTAAGAAGAGTTGGCAGAAGTTAGAGAAGTAGATGACAAAGGAGCTATCCAGACAAATGGTCTTTCCAGAAGTGTTCACCATGGATGGGCGTGTCCTATGATTCAAACACTTAAAATTAAAATCCAGCCGGGCACTGTAGCTCACATGTATAATCCTAGCTACTCAGGAGGTGCAGATCTGAGAGTCACGGTTCAAAGCCTGACCACCTGAAAACCAGAAGTGGAGCTGTAGTGGAAGGGTAGGGCACTGGCCTTGAGCAGAAGAGCTCAGGGTTAGCACCCAGGCCTTGGGTTCAAGCCCCAGGACTGACCAAAAACAAAAACAAAAAACCTTCATACAGAGCCAGCCATAGTCATGCACACCTGTAATCTCAGCGCAAGAGTATTCCAAGTTCAAGGCCCGCCTGAGCTATTTAGTGAGACTTTAAAATATACATAAACGTTTCTTCAGATAAAATTTTAGCTAAAAATCCTAAACATGAGTCGGGAAAATGATCCACCCTGCTCTTGCTCCTTAGAACGGAAATTGCGTATAAACTTGACTCAAATGGTTTTTACCCTCGGTGTATCCAAAAAGGTCCCTTCACGGAACCTGCCAGAATAGACCCAACCTGAATACCCCTGAGACTTCAGAGCTTAGCGTGTGTGGCTCACACCTGCAATCCCAGCTACTCAGGAGGCCAAGATATGGAGGATCATGGTTTGAGACCAACCTGGGCCAAAAAAAAAAAAAAAAATCCCCAGAAATGCCATCTTCAAAATGACCAGCAAAACACAGGGCTGAAAAGGCACTGGAAAGAGACAGGGACACAGAGCCAGAAAAAAAGACCAAGATGGTTCCCAAATCCCGTAGCCCTTTGACATGGGGCAATTTGAGCAAACACGAAGAACAGAACAGCAACGGATTGAATAAATAAGTAAATGCCTGGGGCGCCAAAGTAACCAATGGAGAGGAAGAGACAGATCTCCCAGAGAGCTTTATGAAGACTCACCCTGGAGGGACCGGACATAGGTAAATAGAAGGGAGAGGACGGGGGTCAGTGGGTGCCACTACCTTTGGCCAGGTGATCAAAGCCACGTGCCGCCTGGACCACAGCATGTGACAAAAGCGTGACACGTGGCCTCAATGAGATGTTTCCTTCTGGAGCCCATTACCCAGGTGTAACCACGGGGGAAAAAAAGCAGGTGAAGTGTCCTACCGTCTACCAGAGCCGGGATCCAAAGTTGTGGTGCAAGCTGTCACAATCAAAGAAGTTCTGACACACTCACTGCCGAATGAGATGAAAAAGACCCAAGTGGCAGGAAGGTGGCTTCCCAGAATAGACGAGGGACATGCTGGGCACAACTTAGGGAATTCTGCTCTGTAACAGACATGCCGGACGAATCCGAGCTGGGAATAAAAGAATGGGGTGTGGGCTGCACAGGGGTGCTTGGGGATCCCGCTCAGTCTTGTCGAAAAGGTGGTGAGCAGAAACAACACTCGCAGGAGAAGTATGGATTCCTTTCGCTTTGTCCAAATGGCACGATTAGGTCAATGGGTGGAAATTACCCTCTCGTTCTTGTCAAAGGAAGGATTCTCTAAAGTTCTGAGCTGTCGGCACCTGCCAGGGAGTGAGTTCTCTGCATCACTGAACATTCCAGAGTCTCCCTGACGGCCATCCCTGGGAAATGTGCACAAATGGGGAGCTGCACAGGATGCAAACCTCAAGATCCCACATTCTCCTGAGGCACATGCTAGGGCCCCTGGGGAGTGTGTCCTAAATACAGCCTGGCAGGAGTCTGAGTCTAGAACCACCTCAAGGCCTGTGTGCGAAAAGCTCAGTTGCCAGGTCAGAATAATTAGGGGTGGGCCTCATGGGAGGAAGTCAGGTGGCTGGCAATGATGGGGCGGGGCCTCATGGGAGGAAGTTAGGTGGCTGGCAATGATGGGGCGGGGCCTCATGGGAGGAAGTTAGGTGGCTGGCAATGATGGGGCGGGGCCTCATGGGAGGAAGTTAGGTGGCTGGCAATGATGGGGCGGGGCCTCATGGGAGGAAGTTAGGTGGCTGGCAATGACGGGGCGGGGCCTAATGGGAGGAAGTTAGGTGATTGGGGGTGTGGCCTTGAAGGGCCACTCTGACTCCCATCTTTTTCTCTCTTCCGGGGCCCACTGGGCGTTATGCCTGTGGCGTGGCCTCTGCAACAGCTCCTTCACGGAGACGTGCCAACCTGGTGCTTCGGTGGCACGCAGACCCTGGAGGTTCCCGCAGGGAGCACACCCCGGGGGAGCCCGCCACGGCGCTCTCCAGGTCTCCCCGGGGTCAACCCCATTCTTACAGGCTCCCCAGACGCCCAGGAGGCAACGATGAGGCTTGTGCATTTTCCAAACCTTTTGAATTGAAAGTGGAAAAAGAGCCTGGCTTGGCAGTCGGGTGGGAAAACAGCCCTTCCATAAAGCTTCCGCAACCCTCAGCGTGACTGAGAGCCCCACGGATGCACGGATGCATGGGAGCAGTGGGCTGATGGGGCCTGGGAGGTGTCTAGGATGCATGGATTGCTCGTGCAGGCTGCCTCTGATTGGGTCTGGACACTGATGTGTCCCGCCTCTGATTGGGCCTGGACATTGATGTGTCCCGCCTCTGATTGGGTCCTGGCACTGATGTGTCCTGCCTCTGATTGCGTCTGGGCACTGATGTGTCCCGCCTCTGACTGGGCCTGAACATTGATGTGTCCCGCCTCTGATTGGGCCTGGACATTGATGTGTCCCGCCTCTGATTGGGCCTGGGCACTGATGTGTCCCGCCTCTGATTGGGCCTGGACACTGATGTGTCCCGCCTCTGATTGGGCCTGGACACTGATGTGTCCCGCCTCTGACTGGGCCTGGGCACTGATGTGTCCCGCCTCTGACTGGGCCTGGACATTGATGTGTCCCGCCTCTGACTGGGCCTGGACATTGATGTGTCCCGCCTCTGACTGGGCCTGGACATTGATGTGTCCCGCCTCTGATTGGGTCTGGACATTGATGTGTCCCGCCTCGATTGGGCCTGGACACTGATGTGTCCCGCCTCTGACTGGGCCTGGACATTGATGTGTCCCGCCTCTGATTGGGTCTGGACATTGATGTGTCCCGCCTCTGATTGGGTCTGGGCACTGATGTGTCCCGCCTCTGATTGGGCCTGGGCACTGATGTGTCCCGCCTCTGATTGGGTCTGGACATTGATGTGTCCCGCCTCTGACTGGGTCTGGACATTGATGTGTCCCGCCTCTGATTGGGTCTGGGCACTGATGTGTCCCACCTCTGATTGGGCCTGGGCACTGACATGGCCCCTGGAATGTCACGTGCTCTCTCCTAAACCCCGACCCCCCCTCAATCGCAAATTCTGATCACCTTTTCCTTCAATGAATCTGTGCCATTTTTACTTCTCCCCTGGTGTTGGGGCACTCATTCCTCCAGGCCAAGGACCCGGGCTGCAGATTCTCAGTATCAATATGACACATACTACACTTTGATCATCAAAGAAGAAAAAGGTATCCTGTCATTTACAAACAAAAGCTATTCCAATGGGTCAGCTTCCAGGGTCCAGTGCGACGGGGTGGGGGAGACAATGAGAAGAACTGGGAGGCAGAACGGACAAGATCAAGCTAGAAGGAGAGGGAGACCTGGGCTGGGGCAGCCGTAGAGGATGGAGACGTAGAGGCTAGGATTACAAGACCCTTCCAGGCTGGAGCCTACATCTGGGAATCCTGATGCCTCCACCCATGCTTGCTGCCACCAGGGGTGCACCCCACAGGGGCTGGACACTACCCGTGTGCTGATCAAAAGCCTCAGGTCTCCAGGCCAGACCCGATTCCCCACCTCCACCTCTCTCCTGTCTCTGGCTGGCCAATTCTTACAGTACATGGAACTTGACTTTTCATATTTTCTTCTTTTTTTTTTTTTAGCAAAAGTGGTTTTTTTTTTTTAAAAAAGCCCAATCTATTTCATGCCTTTGTACAAGCCAGCTAACTGCTGTCAAACGAAAAGCTAAGGCAATTTTAAAACTTCAGAGTCAGGGCTGGGAAGGTGGCTCAGTGGTAGAGCGCTTGCCTTGCATACCTGAGGCCCTGGGTTTGATTCCTCAGCACCACATAAGCAAAAAGAAAGCCGGAAGTGGCGCTGTGGCTCAAGTGGTAGAGCGCTAGCCTTGAGCTGAAGAGCTGAGGGACAGCGCCCAGGCCCAGAGTT